TGTTTCTGTCCAATCCCAAATCAAATTCCGCAACCAATCTGGGTGGCCATCAGGAATGGAATCACACTGCCACACCTCATGATTCGTGCAGGCAGCCCAAAAAGGGAAAGATTGGAGGACGACGACAATGCAAATGGGACGCATATGGTTCATCAGGGATTCTGCACCACCATGAGAGAGAGAGAGAGAGATTGACTGGAGGACAGGCATGCACGTATAACAAATGATAATGCAAAAGGCATGCAGGGTCCAGAGGGCGTGGACAGCATGAGAGAGAGAGAGAGAGAGAGAGAGAGATTCCATGGGGCAGCTATAGGCCAAGTCTTGGGACAAGGGCACGACTCTACTGTCCCTGCGACGGCAGGTGGCAGACATGCTTAGGTCCTCCTCCTCTTCCTCCTCCTGTGAAAAAGCTCCGGAAATAATTGCTTGCGTTGATGCAGAGGCATCACATTCTGCAACCCCTCTCCGTTCAAAGGTGGGCACAACCCAATTGGTTCTTTCTCTAGATTCAAGTTACTTCCATCCATCCACGTCTAATGTTCCACGCCACTCGAGTCTATTTGCGCTAAGTTTGATGAATTTATTATTATTCTTCACTTTATATATTTTTTTTAATATTTTAAGAGCCATAATAAGGGTTTTATTTTTAAATATTATATGATTATGTGAGATTTTGATAAGATATTAAACGTTAAATAAATAAAAAAGGTTAGAAGGTATCAGCTAGTTTAGTTAGTAAAGATTTTAATAATATATAGACAGTATCCCGAGTTGGATCTCATCTTCGTCATTTATCATTTATTAAAAGAAACATCGAGTTAAGTGAAAAAAATATAATAAACTTATCGAATGTATTACTATGTTTGATTTAACTGTGTTCGAACGATATTAAATCTTACGTCAAAGAGATTAGTGTTTTTATATATTCTGATTATTCGATACGTCAACGATTCATAATCAATCTAAATCTAAAGATAATTTCGATGTCGAAAGTTTATGAGATTCGATAAGACCCAATAAATATTATAATTATTATGCGAAAGCTCATATACGAGATGATGTCTACTAAGCACTGATCCGTTTGATAGATCAAGAAATATCATCAGATAATTCAAACACCAAAACAATCGGTTTGCTCACCCAATCATGTCGTGAGAAAACCAATTATCGGTGGCTCGACGAGATCGAAAAGGTTCAGTTTCCTCTTAACCGTAGTAGTATGAGATCATTTTAAGATGCCTGCCATCGGTTTTGCAGCTAATCCTCGTTGCCCGAAGCGGAAACGTCGTTTTGGCTGATGAATTAGGGGGCACAGTGTTGCACCGGCAATGGAGGGTCTGATGAGAGTCGTGATCACCCCATGATGGGGTGTCGACAAGTGTCGAAGACTGGGGTCACCGCCCCATTATTTCTCTGAAATGGACTGGTCATGGCGAAGGATAAGGTGCTCTTCTCCATCCTTTCATCTCCTTGTCAGTCCACCATGTGATGAGCCAGGAGAGGAAGTTTAGAATATCTTATCTTACCTCATCTGTTCATCATGCACTCAGGCTGTAACCTAAGAGACCCCCTTGTTCTCTCTTTCTCTCTCTGACCATCTATAAGTAGGAGGCTGGCCGTGGTTCTTGTAGGTCTTTCAAGTTCCACCTTCACCGCTCAGGCACGCATGTGGCTTCGGCATCAGGTCTCTCCTCGCCCATCTGTGTAGCTTCTGTCGGTTACAGGTTCATGGGAGGAGCAAAAGGAGGCAGGTGATGGTGGTAGCTGTTGACAGAAGATAGAGAGCACAGATGGTGACATGCGTGGGCTGCTGCATCTCACTCCTTTGTGCTCTCTATGCTTCTGTCATCACCTTCAGCCCCTTGCTGTCTCCGATTACCTTGTGACCGTCCGTCTGCAGGCAAGATCCGCTCTGCTGCACTTTGATACTTGTCGCTTGTTGTTTTCGATCTAAAGGAGAGCAAATTTATGGTGTTCCTTTTACTCGGTTTGTCTGCAAAGAGATTCTTCGTTCTTGCAAAAGCATCTGCAGCACTTGCATGCTTATCTCGTCGGCATCATTCCGAAGAATAAACTTTGAACCCACTTCATGCATATGTATGCTTGAGCAGAACATATTTGTGGTTATCTTCTGCATGCTTGCTTACACGCACACACACAAAAACTTGCCTATGATAGATCAGCGATCATACAGTTTCTGCAATGCCCTATAGAGAAGAAAGAGTCACCTGATGAACGTATTGGGAACTCTTGATCTGATGGAGATATCGAGCAATAGATGTTGTAGATCTGATTAATCTGGTGACAATAATTGTTTTGCGGTCTTGATCTTAATGTAAAGATGCAACATAAGAGCTGATGCCACCGTAAATGGGTGTGAATGAATTATGTTCTATCATCAATATAAGAACAAAGCCCCCCATGAGATGTTCTAATGGTTAAGATGCACAATCATATGCTTTATATTTTTTGTCTAAGAGTTGTGTCCAATGAAACACGAGGTTCTTCAAATCCAGAGAGGTTAATATCTATAATTTTATTTTTAAATATACAAAGATTATTTTCAATATTCAAATTCTAGTCTTTGGATCAGAAAGGAATAATCTTATCATTATATCAAAATTCGCACTCAGAAGAAAGAGATGTATATAATGTACAATTTGCGAGAATAATCTTATCATTATATCAAAATTCGCACTATGTATATAATGTACAATTTGCGAGAATAATCTTATCATTATATCAAATTTCGCACTTAGAAGGAGATGTATATAATGTACAATTTTCCCGCAAGTAGGATCTAAGGAGGCTGATTGTAACACAGCAATCCTGAGAGGGTTATTTATTTATTTATTTATTTATAAGAATTTATTTGATATTTTTTTATTTATTTATTAATAAAATAATTTATTCGACACTTCGACTAATAGATAAATCAATATCCATTTCTTTGACTTAGCATGATGACACAATCTATCATATTAATGCTATGTTTGGGAACATAATTGTATTTTTGATGACACAATCTATCATGTTAATGCTATGTTTGGGAACATAATTGTATTTTTGATGACACAATCTATCATGTTAATGCTATGTTTGGGAACACAATTGTATTTTTAATATGCATTTGAGAAAAGAGTGTAGTATTTTGAGTGTTTGAAAAATAATAGATGAAGATTATATTTTAAATGTATATTGACGTAGGTATCGTTTGGTAAAATTGTTTTTCAAAGGTTCATTGAATGTTATGTGACAAATTTATCATTCTAATATTTTGTATATTTATTCAAAAATAAATAAATATTTTTTTATTTAATTAATAAGTGAATAAATAAATAAATAAAATGCATGTTATCTTATAAAAAAATATATGGTCTCTATATATAATAAATAAATAAATTAATCATATAAATGAATAAAAATTGAAATAAATAAGTAAAATTTCAAACTTGTGAGAGAAAGGACAATGATAAAAATCAAAAGAATAGATGATAAAAATGTGGGTTAGAGATTCAATTATATAGTGACAATCTTATGATTTTAAATAATATCATAAGGTATTTTAAAATGTTTAAAAATTATATTAACATCCTATAAAATATTAAAATATTAATACATCATTCAAATCAAATATAATTTTTTTTTTAATTTATCAAATATTATTTTATATTTAAAAATATATATTAGACTCTTTATATATATATATATATATATATATATATATATATATATATATATATATATTTGATTATATAATTAAATGTGTTCCCAATGATGACCATAAAACAATTGTAAGAGCATAAGAGCATGATTCAACGAAAGATGACTGCAAGAGAAGCTTTCGAAGCTCAGTTTTTGGACTCACCCTGTCTCCGTCATTTTCTTGCTACATTAGTTTCCGTGTTGACGAGTTGACGCTGTGAGACGTTATTCCAACCAGTGTTGTGTCATCAACATAGACTCCTCGTGAAAGTCAACATGTTTTCATAGTGGGGTCTACAAAGTCTACCATTTTCTTGAGGTAGTATAGCCATTTGATCAGATCGAAGATTGACACATCTAATGTCGTAGAAATTAGCCAGATTAACTTAAAGCTTTCACTATTCTTAGATGAACTTTCGATAACACATTTAGCACTACCAGTAGCTAAAAGAAGCAATATTTAGATCTAACACTCTCAAAATTAACTTGAAAGAGTAATAGGAAATCAAATAAAGAGATGCAGAAACAAAAAAACTTCTATTTCGATAAAATTCTATGGTTTGATAGGTTTCTGCAACTAAAATACCAATACCTCTTCTATTAGAAAAACAAAAATCACAAGGAACAAGAATGAGAAGAGATAATGCAGAACAAAGAGAACATTGCAGTTCTTAAGACTCCTCAAAACTCAAAATTCAGCACCCACTGTTGAAACTTCAATCAGAACAATGCACAGCAGTCTCATTACCAAGAAAGAAAACAAGAAAACCGGAAAGTGCTTTCCGAAATGACTGGCTAGATGTTCTTGCACAAGGCCATCCATGACATTTCAGTGCTGTTATTTTTCAATAAATCAAACAGATGGAAACCTTTCACCATAACACCATACAATTGATAATACCAACAAACAAGCATTTAGCATTTGGCTCCAACATTTCCTGACCTTTCCATCTGTAGGACACCAGAGTATTTAAGCTGACAGAATAAACCTACTAATGTATTCGGAGGACACGCCCCACTGCCTCAAGTCTGTGAGAACCCATATCAACCCAGAAACATTTCTTAACTGATGCAATCAACCAACATACTTTTTTTCCAACAACAGCTAATGTCTTAGAGAATTTTGCAAATTAAGCATGAAAAGAATATGAATGCACGGTTGCAGGAAAAAGAGTCATCTTCATTTACCTCGCGTGTGTCCGCATTGAAGTAGCTGCCGGAAAAGATGAGAATTAGAAGAGCAATACTACATATGTACAATGAATCATAAATGAAATTTGCTGAGCAAGGCATTAAAAATGCAGAGGTGGCATGTTCAAAGGACTACAAAAATTTACCCACTAATTCTTGCTAGCATTTCTCCAATTCACAGAAATCTTTTGATGGAATTTCTCAGGCATTATACCTGGAATTCCTTCCCACAATGTATGAGCCACTAATAACAGTTACAATAGGAACATAGTCCAACCGATCAGTGAGACCATAGAAATTTCCAACACTGTTTTTGTGGCACAAAATGGATTATTTTCCAAAAAATGCTACCGACCGACCGCTATAACTTAAAGAAGGCTGGTCCAATTCAACAAACAAAGCTGAAGCTACCGGTATGGTCAGATTCCTGCGAGCAATATAAGACATTCATATAGATAAACTGTGGCATATACAAATATCCTCAGTGATTACAACAATCTAAAGAAACAAGATAACCACCTTAGACAAATCAAAGGTCAATCTGGGTGACAAGCACGCTACTTTACAACCACCCAATTTTGGATACAAACAAAAGCACCTTATATATTTGATCCTCCACAGCCCTTAAGAAATGCCTGTCAAAAGAAGCAATCATGATGATTATTACTCAAGACCAAGGCATCATAAACTCATTCGACCAATTTCACATTTAGAAATTCAATATCTTCAAAAATGTGAGTCCTACCATCTTGGTGGCAGCAAGCGACTGACGCTGCCGTTCTTTCTTCTCGCGCTGACACTCACCGCACCAGCTAGAGAAATCCTTTTGATATTTCTTCATCTCTCTAAAGACTGAACTGTAGACCAGATCACACAAGATCACTTGTTGCACAAAGTACATATAACCAAGAGAATTAGCACAGGAGAAACAAAAGAGAGTTTGGCATAAAATAGCATCATCGTGGAACAGAAAGTTGTTCAAAGTATGAACTGCATGATATGGTACGAAACATTGAGAAATTCATTAAAATCACGATAAACTATTATGAAAATTAATATTAATCACATTATACAAAGATATTATTAAGACAAATAAATATTGTATCTCATACAAAAAGAACCTAAACTTATTTATCCATAGTTTTGAAGATGGTTATGTGCCCAACTGTGGCCTCAGTGCCTTATGTAACAACCATGTGTCCATTTTTGGATAATGCAAACATAAGGACTATAGTTGAAAAGAGCACAGAGTTTGGGATTAATCTAGAATTCTATAGCATCTCCTTACTCTATCATCACATCTTTTTGTCACGCTCAACAGTGAATGTTGAACATTATGACGATTGTGGCAGATGAAAAACATCATGTTTGCAGTGAATAGTAAACACAACAACAGAAGCATCAAGTACCAAGCTATCTACTGATTAAATAACAGGCATGAGATGGATGATCATGAAGTGAGTACCAAACTAAAGAATGGTTACATACATGGTAAACAATACCCAGTCAACTCAATGCCTCAAATTACAAGCAATAAATATTGTATTCATGCTCTTGAAAGGAAATCTTGCCATCAAAACATTATGCATCTATAGAACAAAAACATAAAGGTACCTTCTACACCACAAAAGCATATTGATCCTGTGTCCAGAAGTTGTGGGGCGAGCACCATGCCGATGACGGCCACGATGAAGTACAGCTTGACCAGGGACATGAGAATAATCTAAAATTTCCTGCCATTTGAGAAATTGTTAGCCTCATCAGGCAAGGAAGAGTTTAGGCAGCTTGTTCGCACTAGTCAATGAACAAAAACAAAAAAATCACTATTTCAGGCAACTATAACAGAAATATATACTAAAAGTAGGCATAATAAAGACAACTGATAAGATCAACTCTATGCGACTAATGGGTATCGAATAGCTTCATATCTATTTATTTATAGAGCAAAAAGAGATAATATACCGTAAGGCAAGGGATGGCATATGAGTTTGTTACAATTCATCATGTGTTGCTGGCAAGATTTGCAATATGCCTACATTTTCCTAGCATGACATCCATCACAAACCACACAAGACCAATACATGGTATGGGTTGTCATGAAACCAAATGATGAAAGTTAATATCAGTTTAATAGCAATCTCATTATGCCTTATTGACAATAATGTTAACACTACTGGATTATATCAGTACAATCACTAGTTTCTGTACCATTTTGCAGGTCTCATTAAATTTTAGTGTGGCTCTAGTATTAGTAAGTATGTAAAATTACAAATTATTTTAAAAAGTAGCCAATACATGAAAGTCAGCATTTCAAAACACCCTAACGAAATTAATGCTAATATAAAATGTTTGACAGGTGAACCATATTATATAGTAACTTATAAAGCAATGAATCTTGTAATTGAAGAAATAATTCCAAAGACACTTGGCTAAGTTCTACAAGCCTAATACGTCATATCCGTTACAGATTCCAGGTCAACATAGAACAAACAAATAAGACTTTAAGTTGATCTATACAGCTGTTCTGGCTAATACTTCTCATGAGACATAACGAACCTCTGGTTGTGTCTCCGTGTTCACATGTTTATCACATCGAACACCCCGAAAGAACAATTCACCCCCAGAAAAATCTTTCCCCAAACACACATTTAAAGTAACTTCTGAATCATCCACATGGAAACCTGCATCACAGGAACTACAATGACTTAAATAAGACGTATAAAAGAATTGCTTCAATTTAATTCTGTGGAAATAGATATCAAAGTTAAAAAAACAATATCTAGAAAACTAAGACCACCCAAGAATGTGATGAACAGACAATGCTATGTTCTACAATAAACATGAGTAGCTATAAGAATAACATGTCAAGATGCAACATAGGAGGTTTTTACATGTTGATATATGTGTATCTACCATTTCCACAATGTCATGGCCTAAAAGTTAAAGCTAAGCAAGAGAACCAGTGGTGAAGTTTAGGGAACAGAAAAGAGAATAAATAAGAATACATTAAAATACAAAGTTCACTTCCTGTAAAGAAAAAAAAAAAGAAAGCACCTTCTAGTAAAGTGACATCTAGCCACAGGTGATTTGCAGAGCAGTCACAAGTCAGAAGCATATGCATGACATTACTCAAAGAACTCACAGGAAATTGCCTGATGTATTAAGATGAAAAAAATTAAAGTATATAAATGGGAGAAAAGAATGGACCAAGAAAAATATATGAACTCCCCAAAATAATGGAACGAATGGTTCTCTAGAATTCTCTAGAACACACACATCCGAATGAGGCACAAAATTCACTAGCTCGACCATTTGCTAGTGGTCTCCAGCTGAAACCATTTCTATACAACTAAAAAGAACATAGGATTTTCAGTGGCTGCTTAATGTAGCTTAATCGTCTACCATTTGCTCAAGATACAAAACAGGTAGAAGCATTGTTGCCTTCAAAAATTGGACTGAAGATTTAAAACTAAAATAATTTAAAAGTCAAGATGAGCTTATATGAGATGGTGTCAATAGGGTGGTTTTTAAGGAATGAATTGGAAGAGTCTCACCTTACGTAGTTAATGAAGAAAGAAGTGCCTGTACCAGCAGCATTGCCCAAAACTCTTTTGGCAACATCCTGAGTAGCACTTGGATGGAATGAGGTGTTGATGGATACCACATGACATAGCAAGCATGCATTACAGATGAACGGCACAAAGAAACAAAGCTCAGCATGTGTATCATACCAACAACCAACTGGCATAGCCAGGCACTGATACTTCAACAAGTTGCACAGGCACAAAGTCATAAGATCCATGGTCTTTGTTATGTGTCACGGTAAGGGATCTTCAGAAAGAGAAATGCATCCAATCTGATGCTTGCTACGAAGAAAGTTTTCAGCCTTATCTGGAGACCACATCTGTAGATTTCCTAACCCAAATAGAACAATTTTTTTTGCTTTTTTAGGTTTTAGTCATATCATTCTTTTACATTGCTTCAAAATTTTAAGAACAATTTAAAATTTGGGGATTAATTTTATACCGAAAGAAATTAACCTACCAGCCCCTCTCCTTTCAATACTAGGAACGATGTAAGAGGAATATCAAAAGGAAACTAAGTTTTCACGATGCTACAACGGTGCCACCAATGTTGCAGTATGACTGGCTAAGATGAATGTCCACATGACATGCAGAATTAACATGTTTCCAGAACACTTCCATGATACAAAAATTAGATCCCTGTAATGAGAAGTGTCATCAAGGTCCCAAAAGTGATGCAGGTAGGTACAGTTACAAGAAATAACATATAGATCTACGGCTGGGCGATGTAGAGATAGTTTTATATACTTTTCTTATTGCCCTTTTTACTTAAAATTAACTTTTAGAATAATTTTAGAGCCGACTAAGAAATCCAAAGAGGAAAGGATGTACCCAGATTTGATTATCATATGTGAAGGAATTATATAATTCTCTTGACTCACTTGTCCACATATAAATAGTCCAAGGTTTTGTTAATTAGTCTTGATTCAGTTCAAATTCATTTAGAATAGAAGATGAGTCTGGAATAAACAGGAATTGGATCAATGTCCCATTTTCCTTTAGAGAAGTACCCTAGTTATGGTGACACAAGAACATATTCACATTTACCTATAAGGGAATTTTCAGCTGCAGAAAACTGGTCAGTACTTATTATTTTCAAATATGGGAATGACCAATTACCCTTGTTATTAGCTTTTCCCTCTCTTATATTTGTTATCAGTATATTATTCTTCGTCTACCTCTTTCTCTAATAGTTTCAGATGGGATTTTGTGCCAACAGACTGACAGATATTATTGATCTAGTCAGCCCTCCAGTGATAAGATTTGCACCAACAAACAAGCATGATAAAATAACATCTTCACATACACAAGGTGAAGACCAAACAATATCAAAGTTAGTTGCAACCAGCATCAAGGCATTAATCAACCTCTACCTGATACAATTCATCCATTCAAATATTTGGACAGCCATATGATTTCATGTGCTAAAAATCAAATTAATTTAGCCGAATATCAGAAATAGTAGTTAGACTAATTCTTGTTAGTATACATATTACTTGCCTAATTCAACATCCTTGTCCTTCCCATATTCAACGACAAAACCGTGATGTGAATCCAGAGTAGATCCACCAACCTCAGGGAAAAATACTGCAACACAAGAAATTAGTTCTTGGTGAAGATTTATAAAAAAGCAATATACATTAACAAGAAATATCATGTTAGACACAGAAGAGAGGCAAATTTATTACCTCTAGCTATTGGTGATATGAATTCTTCCATAAGCTTATTAAGCATGGTTTCCAGGCCAAAATCATCAAGCACAGCACCATACTTATTCATTGTATTTGGTCTCATTATTTTAAACTTAACTGCATTAACCCACTTTTCAAAATTTTCTACCTAAGAAATCATCAAAATATGAATAAGTGCAAAACAAAATAACTTGTTATGTGTTGAAGGGCAGTACACGAATTTGTAATACCTCATCTAATAGCAGCTCACAGAAACTTGGCTGAAGCATAGCAAATGTATAAATTCCAGGTGAGGGTTCAGATAATATATTTCTAAAGCTCTCCTCTGGGTTGTCATTGACCGCTTTAAGAAATGATGGCACAAAGAAAGCTGATGGATGCAGATTGTAGAGTTCCTTATGTAAAGGCTGTCCAAGAAAACAATAAAAAGGCACATAAATAACATCATAATTTATAGGAGGCCAGCATTCCAAATATGTGAGCAGTTAAGAAATTATCACAGTTAAAGTAAAATTTGTAGAACGAGATTAAAAAAGTGTAAACAGCTAAAAGAATGCTAAACAAATGGCTAAAAGAATATTATCCCAAAGGATCAATCATATGGCCCCAATGAAACATATCCTAGTAATATTCTAACAGAGAATAAATTATTTTATATCCATCAAGAAACACCTGAGTTAGGGATAGTTACTCCATGTATATTTTGCAGATAAAAAAAAAATCCTAGGTATGTATGCGAATGCATAGGATATCTTGCTATACTCCAAATCAAAAAATTTCCACCATGTTTCCTAGCTGTATGCTGCAAGAATATGTTAAACTTGAGTCTATAAGACTGTATTTTTATTTCCTCCCCATACATTCTAGCTACCTCTGAGTTTATACATAATTTCATTGAATCAAGAGTCAAGACTCACCATAATCATGAGAAGTAAGTTGAGTGCTACTTCTAATAAAAAGAATGGAGCTCTTGACAAGCAGCACATAGTGGCTTCCAGTCAAAGATATTGCCTCGTGAATGTATCACAATATTTTGATAAATCAAAGTAGGAATATTGAAAAACAAAGGAAATACAAGACAAGATACATGTGAAGAGCACCACTTTCACCCTTCGAAATTAACTGATATAAATTTTCTTTCACCTGGTATCATTGGCAAGATTATAAATCCTAATAAGCGTTGCTTACTAAAAAAGAAATTAGTTGTACCTAAGTTCATGTCCAAGACAGACTCACGATTCAACAAATTAGATGTCCAAGTCTATCATAATATTAGGAATATTGCAAAAGTCTTCTTTGCATAATGATGTGGGACCATCTGTGTTTTTTTCTTTTTCTTGAAAATTTTTTACTAGTTTAGGGTGTCTTTTACAAATTTAAGAAGTTGCCAAATGACAATGTTAGCTACCAAGAATATCAAAGAAGACAAAAAGGAAACAAACAAAAGGAGACAATAATATGTTTGATTAAAGATTGTAAATGAGAAGGAAGGAGATAAGCATTGAATCTGATTGAAGATTTCAACTCATGAGAAAGTTTGTTCTTTATTGAAGATTATACACAGATGAAAGACTACCATATCTTCAAAAGCGAATACTCTTTTTCAGATCAAATTTGGAACATTCTCTTCTTCGAAAAAGGAAAAAGTTCTTGATCTACTTATTTTGATGTAATTGCAATATTTTTCTTATTTCTGTACTTTTTTGCTTTTTTTTGTGCTTAGGGACTATAAAGAACTTTTTGAATGGTATCAAAGCATGATAAAATGAATTGAGGTTTTTTCCATAGTGTGTTTGAATGGTATAAGGTCGCATGTCTTCTTTTCCGATTTAAAATTCTATCATATGTGTGGGATATGTGGAAGTGTGAAACTTTTATCCAGAATTCTCCTCGAGTCAGAACAAGCATATTTTTTTTGCCTATTATCATTCTAATAATTGTCTTTTCCTTCCTCTATATTTCCCTTACAATATTATATAAAAAAGGCTATGTTTTTGGCAAACTTGTCCTACATCACTAACCCATTGCTCTCTTTATGCTTAATGTCAATAGTATATCTTTATCAAAATAGAACTCAGATTGACTACAGTACACATAACAAAGAACATCATCATAAATATATAGATTGAAATTACATACATTATCACACAGGTAACATGATATATCTATAAAAATTTGTTACAGTATTCAACACATAATCATTAATTGTTAAAAGTGAGAAGAACTATCACATGTAGCACCACAAAAAATTGCTAATGAAGTTGCACAACATAGTTTGTCTAAAATACTAGACAAAAAACAACCACTAATTGTAATTAGTAATGTTCAGCCAAATCATACAAAAAGCAAATTAGACAAAACTTATCTAAATAATTTATTCAAGATATTGTAATTTTCTTAAATTATTCATACTCAAGGACCAAATCTGGTAGAAATTTTGTAGACAAGGAAACACTTGGATTCTAAAGTAACAAAAAGTACAGGGATGATATTCAAATGGCATACCTGATAAGCCAACATTAGTTTGTGCCTGTATTCTTTATGCCTCTGAACCTGATATAGCATCTATATTAATTGAAATAAAAGACCACTTGCCTAAGCCACAAAAGACCAGAAATAACAACAAAAACGAAAGAACTAGTAGAACATGTACAACTTGAGATAATGCAATATTAACATAAGAAGCAGTAAGCACATAAATAGTAAGCCCTCCCATCAGTAATTTTGTTATAAATGGGAAAATTTCCTTCATATTGCCATTTAATGAACATAATATTTTGTAAACTTACAGGAAAAGTTTCTTTATGAACTAATAGGAAAAAATTAATCATTCTAGATTCAAGAATTGCAATTTAAAAACTATGAATTCAACTATCATAATTTTCATTTACCAGGAATCTACTAGGTAAAAGAGAAAGTTAACTTATAAAAGATCTATTTAAGAAAACTTTTCTAATGGTCCAACTAGTGATTTAAAAAGCGCTAGGCGCTCGTCTGAGCGAAGCGAGACGCTAAAATATAAAAATATAAAATATAATTAATAAATATAATTATTTAAATAAAAATATGATATCTAATTAAAAAAATTATAGAATTACAATATCACATTAACAAAAAATCTCAAAATTCAAAATAATAACAATAATTTCAAATAAATAAAAATTAACAATATTAAAATCAAAATAATATATTATTAATCTAATAAATAAAAAAATATTGTTACTAGTATACAGTCAATAGTATAATGTTAATATACTATTAACAGTATACTATCGAGTCGATGTGAGTAGAGGGAGTAAGAGTAACAGTAGCGACGATAGTGGCAAGCATCGACAACAACGGCGAGCAACGGTAGTGGCAACAGTAACGGGGGCGCAGTGTAAGAGTAAGATTGAGGCTGTTGACTGAGAGAAGCAGCAGCGGTAGCAACGAGCAGCGACAATAGGAGTGGGAGCGACGATAGTGGCAACAACAAACAATGACAGTGGCAAAGGCAGCAGAGAGCAACGACAGCGAAGAGAGGCAACAACAGTGGAGAGAGGCAGCGACAGTAGAGAGGAAATATCAGCGGCAAAATCGCGAGCAGGGTTAAGGTTGGGAAATTCACGAGAGGGATGTTGGGAGGCTGATATCGATGCTTTAGTTGGTTCGATTGAAACAACTAAAGCACCAAAGACCGAACTGGACGTAAAACACTGGTTCGGTCGCCCGGTTTAACCTGGGCGCTCGCCCGAAGCGCCCCGGCGCCTGAGCTCGGGCGAGCGCCTTGACGACGCCTCTTTGAAGCAAGGCGCTTGGACATGAAGCTAGGCGCTCAGGCCTCGCCTCGCCTCGCCCGAGCGCTTAGGCAAGCGCTCGAGCGCCTATTGAAATCACTGGGTCCAACTACTCTGAAATCTTTCCTCAAAAGTTCTTTTCTCAAGTTAAAATACTAAATCAAGAAAAGTGAAGTTTTCCATACTTCAAACAACTTTCTTAAATAGTTATGTTATTGCCCTAGCAAAAACAAGAGGTACGAGATTGTCTAAACTTTTGTACCAACTACAACAACACAACTGGTGATGTTTCAAACAAGCAAAACAAGGACCGAGTTGCTTTATATAAGAAAAACTCAAATATAAATCGAGGAAGTAGGGATGTGATATATCTCAGCTTTCTTTCATGCAAAATAAGCATGGAAGAGCATAACATGATGCTCTACAACCAAAGTTGACTTCTTGAAATAATCCTAGATGACAAAGAATAAATCATAATTCATAAATAATTAGATAATTACGGATAATTTTTTGGAATGGTCAAATCATATAGAACTGTTCACAAACTTCTAAATCCATAAACTAAAACACATCGAGAATACCAAGAGTAATGTTACCACAATTGGAGCGTGGATAAATGTACAATATAAACTTAAAAGCATTTTAAACATCCCAGCTCAAAATTCATATCATCCAATTTATAAATACAAGCATATCAACCTCACGCTGCATGGTTCCTTCACATCAAAGCTCTCCACCGAAGTTATCCTACTACCATGTCTGTATGATGTCATCAAGCAAAAGACATCGAACAACATATTTACAAGTACACCCAACAAATCCATGCTCTATGATAAAAATTTCTGCAGAGGACAGAGCAACTATTTTAATGTGCCGTGGCTTAATTGAATCCAAGATCGTTCGCAGTAAAGCATTTAAGGGCATTTCCGTTATTTCACCCAAAAGATGATTTTTTTGTCCAGAGGAAGAAATCATAGATCCCTGGAATCCGAACAACGGAAACCCTGAGTTCTAGAAACACCAACTTCAACGGCAAAGAACAAGAAGGCTAAGGACGAGAAAAAGAACACCAGAGCAGCTCACCCTGTTTCGTTCCCCCTCTGGCAAGTACCGAGCGAGGATCTCCTTCATGAACTGCACCTTGGCGTCGCGCGGCACCTCGAGCATGCTCGGCGGTAGGTGCCGCTCCAGGGAGCTGAAGATGGCGGGGTCAAACTCTGACTGCACGTCGTCGTATCGCTCCGGCTTGTGCTCCGTGTTCGGATTCAGCCTCAGCCGCCGGTCCCCGTACGTCGGCCTCGCCGGAGGCGCCATCACCGGCCCGTTCCCATTCCCGTTCCCGTTGCCCGCCGGCGACCCCTCCCTCCTCTCGACTGCGCCGTCCAGCGACATCGCTTCGCTGCCGGAGGCTCGGGCGGCCGATGGTGAGAGAGGGGATCAGCTCTCGCAGGCCATATCAGCGGAGGAAATTTAGGGTTACGAGAAGTCTAGGGTTAGGGTTTCGTCGGGAAGGGGAGTCAGGGTTTGGTGTGGGGTTGGAGAGAGAGAGAGAGAGAGAGAGCGCGGTGTTCGTTTGACGTACACACGATATAGACGGGGGTGATTAACGCCACTGCCTCGACAAATAATTACGGGCTCGCCATCGGAGAGGGGAGAATGTAGTCGTTCACCGGTGCATATTAGGGTTTCTATGGGAGAGGAAGGTGGAAGGCCCGATCCGCTGCTTCGGGAGCAGCAGCAGACGTCTTTGATGCCCCATGGATAAGACACGTGGACTCTGAGACGTGTGGGCCCCTTACCAATTGGCCAATCCACTAAGCACATGTCGAAAGCTTGATGACGCTTCCCCTCCACGCACGAAATCGAGGGCATTATTTACCCAAAAATATATATATTATATAATTATAAATCGCGATGACCAATTGCACGAGTTCAACCAACGAGCAATGTTGATTGGATGCAGACATTAGTCATTGGGCTGCTGCTTATCCACGGATCAAATCCCATTGCTAATGCTTCCGAGGGTGCCAACGAGATGGGTTGGATTGAATGATTCGGATTTAGGCTAATCCAGACCAAGTTGTAATTGAATCGGATTCGACTCGGGTTGGGTTGCTGATCGGGCCCATTGTAAACCGAGCCTTTTCCGGTTCGGCCTTGACTCGGGTCCGATTAAACTGATGATTCGTAGATAATTATTAGTCAATGATTTGCTTTGTTGTAATTAGGATCGATTACGTAGTTATTTTGTGATTAATTGGAGATATTACATTATACAAAGCTCGACAGGCCTTGTATTTTAATCTTTCGATCGACTGCACTTGATATATGATAACTGCTCATGGAATTAATTTGCCCCAAAACAAACACTCATGTCGGTTATAACGAATTGAATAGAATCAAGGCGATATGATTTAAACCACGCACGTGAAATGCACGTGACAGACGTGTGATACTTGATCTTGACCTACGTCACGCGTGCATCTCCCCCGATCAACCCCTATTCTTCGTTACCCCTCGGTTCCTCTCCGCCGCCTCCACGCTGCCGTCGCCGTAGCGATCTGCCTTTCCGCTTGGCGGTGTCTCGCGCGCCTTGTTCTATCGGCGGCCGGACACCGGCTCCTACTTTCACCTCCCTGTGCACCACCAAACCCTCCGAGGACCTATCTTGGCTTCTTGGAGCGGCAGCCGATTCGGGCGTATCTTTGATTGGTTTCTGTCTGAGTGGTATCGTCAATTTTTCTTCTCTTTTTGCCACTTTAGGATGGTGGCGGACTCTTTTGATCTGCCCATGCCTGGATTGATGGATGATTTGTTCTTATTCCGATGGTTTTATCGTGCTTTTTGTTGCAGAACTGTTGGTTCGTATTGTAACCTTGGTGAGTTGGAGCCGTAAGGGATCGGGATTGAAAGAAGAAAATCATGGCCGATTGGGGTTTGTAGTCACTTATCAGAGAAAAATCAATGAACTCGTTCATATCAATTGATATTTGTTGTAGATTGGTCAGAGATTAATTTTTTGGCCTCTTCTTGTTGGATTATCTTTATGTTTCACTTCACGTTTTGTCCGCTTCCATGGAAGCTTCATTTGTACTCTAAAAGGTTTTGAATACTCAAGTTATCTTTGCATCGACTTAACTATTTGCAATCTCAAGAAAAAAATCAGAGAACATGAAATATTCGTTTTAGGATATACAATTTCTCTTCCCAGCATATTTTAGGCAATTGAGCTGCAACTATCACATGTCTAACGTATAGTTTATATGGAAATCATGTTTACATTTGTGATCATTTATCATTCATGCCCACAAATATGTGTGCTTCTAAATGCTCGTTGTCTCTGCCAATTGCAAATAAGAAGCAAACCTAATCTTCCTCCCCATACCTGTCTGGCCATGGACCACACAGGTCCAGTACCCGAAATTGCATTCCTTGGCTGCAACATCATCAGAATCTTAATTCCAAGTATTTGATCTCCACTAACTGTTAATATTTCTCTCTAAGACATTTGTTTGTTTCATGAGAAAAGATAGCTTTTCGTATTTCTATTTGCTAGAATGATTATAAAGCTTGTGTTATGCATAAAATACAGTTTTCTTGCAGAGAAAAAGAATATCTGTTTTTGATTCTGTTCCTTCTGTCATGAGTTTGCTAAAATGTTCTTGTATATTTCTTTTCATTTCCTTCTCTCAGAAGAAGAAGATTTTGAACCAGCACCACCAAGTCTAATAACTAATAAACCAAAGAGCCAGTGGGATGATGAGGATGTGGAAGATGAAGATGTCAAAGAATCCTGGGAAGATGAAGAAGTTCCTGTGCAGGTGAAGTTCTCACATTTCAGTTTTATAATATATCACCTACTTGTTATTGGTAGCATTGCTCTTTAAGATCTATTTACAGGCCTCATAAATGTAGGCATTAAGGAATGCTGCTAATTATGTCATGATTGGCAAGTACTAGGGAATGTTCCGTGCTGAGTGCAACAAAAGCTTTCCAGTCGGACCAAGGATGTGTACCAAAACATATGGTCCAATACCGGTCTTATTTATTTATTATTTCTTTTAGTGATGCTGGATGGTATGTTATGTGTATTGCTTAATATACTAATACCTTAACTTCTAATCGATTGCTGAAACTGGTATCAGACTGAGATATTAATTAATTGATGCATTGGACTATCGCTCTCTGTCTTCAAAGGGAACATAATTATCCTTAGATGTACAGTTAGTTACATGCACCCATTAATATGTAAATAATTGCTAGAACATTTAAATCCATAGGAGTTCTGTCAAAAAATAAAAAAACTTGTATATTATAATTAATTGATTTACCTTGTAAAAAATCTATAAAGCAGTTATGTGAGAGGTTGTCATAAAGCTTTTTTCTTTAAGCATCCTATAGTTTTGCTATTTGCCACAGTATTTTCAGTGGTGGACAATTATGTTCCAACTATTTATTGTTATCTTTACTAGCACATCTGGATTGAGAGGATTAAACTTCCTAGTTTAACCATGGCTTGCAGTTCTTGACTAGAACACTGCCTTGTCTAAGTCAACAATATGGTGATCAGCACAAGCCATAAATTTGCACAGTGTTTACTCCTGAATGGTCTTGTAAAGTAAATAAAATATAGAAGGGGACATTGTGTTTGTACAAGTTGATGATTTGGGTTCAACAAAAATTTAATTATGAATGGGTGTGATGATAGAATATTCCATTTAAATTTGCTGGATGTTTGTTGCATGGTTGTTCCATATGCTTGGAAAAAAATCATGGTATTTTTAAGATTTTTGTGATTTTTGGGTGGTACAAAGTACATCTCTTCCATAGAGGAGGATGGGAAGCTAACCTTTAGGAGTTGGGGGAGTGGAGCCCGCAACTGCAAACATCTCAATGTATGGCATTAGTTGGAATACTAGAAAAGAAATTCAAATAAGCCAGTTGACTTGATATAACGGAAAAAAATCACTGGTCTTTAGCTCTAGAGACTGGATAGATAAATCAGTTTTTTCAATCTTAGATATTGTAACTTACACTTTAGCTATGTCTTATTAGTTTTCCAATTGTGACTATAAAATACATTCAGAACATTTCTATTAGTCATAATAAAATTAAATATTGAAGTTGTATAGAGGATTCAGCATCAAGGATTTTGTTTCTTCATGCCATCCTTCTTGCTTCAATTTTCCATCCAGCACATGATCACTTGTGTTTTTTAGGAACTGTATAGGGATTCTGTGTATGGTACATCACTATCATTAGAGTACCTGAACGTCTTCTGCAACATGATTTTATGATTGTGCTTGTCAGGTACTTGAATGTGTGAAGGTTGATTTATCAGAGTCATGTTCACATATAATTTAATACAGTTGCGTATATCCTCATCTCCTGAATTCATAATCATTGGGTTGCCCTCTAGTGTCCCTGCAAAATGCAGTGTGCAAAAGATTTGCTTTGATGGATTCCTTTTTTGCTAATTTCTTTGTTTTCTCTGTTTGCATAGAAGATGGTTGAAATATAATGTTAGATTTCGGCTGACAGGGGAGCAAGAGTAACTGTTTTCTTTCTTTTTTTTCCTAAGACATATTGAATGTGATTTTGTTGATGCAGGCACCTAAGGCAGAAGAAACAGTGCAGACTACTGCATCAAAGACTGGTCGCAAACCTGCTGGGAAGAAAGAAAAATTACCTGAAGCAAAGACAAGTGAAATAAGTAATGAAGTTCTAGCAGATCCTGTGGCTGAGAAACTTCGCCAACAAAGGTTGAAATTTTTTTCTTCTTATATAAACTGAATTTGAGGGGTTGGCTCTGGGCAAAGTGTACTTTGTGAAGTAATGAAAATTTTAAATGAACACAACCTACTGGTTACTATAGCTTTTTCTTGGTTTCATGTGCTTAGGCTGACATGTAACAACTCTTAGCAGACTTGTTGAAGAAGCTGATTACAAGTCAACTGCTGAGTTGTTTGCCAAGAAAGGTGATGAGAAAACCCTAGATAACTTTATTCCAAAATCTGAGAATGATTTTTTGGAGTATGCCGAGCTTCTCTCTCACAAAATTCTTCCTTACGAGGTTTGCAATCTTTTATAAAAATTGGTTGGAACTTGTATTGCAACTCTTTTCTTTTCTGGTGCTGATCTGCTTTATTTTTCTTGTTCTTCAGAAAAGCTTTCATTATATTGGCCTTCTTAAAGCTGTTATGAGGCTATCTATGACTTCACTAAAAGCAGCAGATGCGAAGGAAGTAGCTTCTTCAGTTACAGCAATTGCAAATGAAAAACTCAAGGCAGAAAAGGAAGCTAATGCAGGCAAGAAAAAACAAGGTAAATATTAGAATGTCCTTGCCATATAATGTTGTGCTGCTAAGTTTACAAGGATAATAATGAGGGAAAATTTTGGTATACCGGTATTATTCAACAGGCACAAAGAAAAAGCAGCTCCATGTTGACAAGGCAGAGGATGACTATGTTACTGCAGGTGGCTATGATGATGTGGATGACTACGACTTCATGTGAGTGATCGAGTTGGTTTCCTCTTTCTATGTATGATTACCGAGTGATTTTAAAGATTTGATAATTACCTGAGGTGGATAAGAACCAAAAGTGGCTATTTCCTCAGCATTCTCTTGAGGCTTTTGAGGTTGTGTCGAAGTCCATTACTTATTTAATTAGCTTTCTTTTGTTACATGATGTATTTATACTGGACACATTGGTACCATTTCCTGGTCTAATATATCAGAATGAGTTTTGGAATCGATGTTTAAAACTGTTTTCTGCAACATAAGAAAACATGGTATTTGTTGGATGTCCATGCAGAGCTCAAGCAAGCAGCTGCTTCCTTTTGGCATCAATATGACGATTGTGCTTAAGATATCATGTGGTATATGAAATCTGATCCATTTTTTGGTGAAATGAGCATACTGTAGTGACTTATATGCTCTGTTGCTTTGGGTATATAGTTAATAATGATGATGTATTGAAGGAAGCGTTTCCTCTGGTTAAAGGTCTTTGACATTTTTGATCTGCAAAAGTACTTGGTAACAGCAAAGGAGATGTTGACTTTGACTTTTACATGCTAATAGCTTCCTTGAAGAAGTGTGTGGAATAAGTTGCTGAAAAAAATCAACAAACATAGTGCCCAATAAATGATCTTCCATTGGATGATGTCCTACTGATCAAATTGCTCAGTAAATTTCTGAGCAATTAGATTTATATAGATGTGCTTCAAGACCAGTCTCCATTCACATGCAAGTATCATATCAACATGCTACCCACCAAATGATGGAAGAGCAGAAGGGCCCAGTAATCATCAGACCGACTCCTGCCTCCTCCAAGCAAAACCAACTCACCCTCTTTCTTGGAACCATCTTGTGGATTCCTAGGCTATATATCCTACAGTGCTGCTCTGGGAATTCCATTGTACTTAACTGGATATTATTGTGTGAACTGACTTGGAACAACTTGGTTTGGTTGTCAGTGGCAAATCATGACTGATTCGTTGTTCTTTTTCTTCCTTGTTTTATATTATGATTACAACTATTTCCATCAATCATAGCACCAAGAAAGTCCACTGTCATGGAATCAGACCTCAAAAGGCAGGTCAAATACTTGCAGAGTTAGTAAGCTTCATATTTTAAAGAGAATTGATCAGTAGGAACACATGACCTGCCAAGTACAGTTTTGGCTTCAGAGACCTAACCCCTTATACCTGAATGGGTCATTCAAGTTCTCCAACTTAGCTTTTCTAGTGTCTTGAACAAAACCAGTCAACAACAAAATATGACAGTCCATCAAATTTGACTGGAGGAGCTCTTCTTTCTCTTCTTCCCCACTAGATGACCATATGAACCCATCTTTTGGTTCATTAAGATGAATGTTCAAATAATGTCCGGTCTGATTCGATACTGGTGAGACAAAAGTAAATCAAGCAATATACTTATATGGTTATTGAATCTTTTTTTTCTTTCTTTTTTTATAAATTATCGACACTCGATACAAACTCATACTAACTCCTAATCGAAATTATAAACCTTGGTTCGACTCCTTTCAAGCTAAGTTCTATATTAATATCTGTAGCTCACCACAGTGACTTGTGAAAGCACTGGAACTTGACACACTTGCCTTGAGACCTTGCTTTCCATTAGCTGTCATGCATTAATCTAGACATTCCACCATCCACAATGAAGAGAAAATGACCATATGATAATAGGGTCATTCTCAAAGTCAGACAAAACACTTTGTATTTTGATGCACAAGCTTACGGCAAACAAGAACAAGCTGTGGGTTCCACTAAAAATGGTTGGCATGCATTTGATGGATGGAATATGAATGGTAATTGGAATGTCAACGTCTTCCCTCGGTGGCGTGGAGGGAAATGGCACAGCTACTTCTTTCAAAGACGTAACCCTCACATGACACATCTGGCCACAGTCTCCGATGGCAGCTGCATGATAAATCCAGCGGCACTCTCCTCCTATATATCCATTGCTCAAAAGACCTTCTGACCAAAGAGGTGGTGGAGAAGACAAGCGATCGCAAGGATGAGGCCTTCGACGGCAGCGTCAACCGCCGGGCGAATGCCCCAAAGGCTTGTCCTCGTTGCGTTCATGGGGTGCCTGCTCATGATCATCCCCTGCTTCTTCGCTGCAGTGTGGAAGCCAAAGTTGGACCCTCTCTCGTCTCGTAAGCCGAATTCTCTGAACTCATATGTGATCGTTTGATCTTCTCGGCGAGAGTTTTGTGGCCAGCAAACGGTTCTCGACTCGATCATCTCTTCTCTTCGTTTCAGCAAATCTGCAGCTATCCGTGACGACCAGCATAAAAATACAAGCCGTCCGAGAGAGTTCCAGCATCTCCGATCGGTCCGGTGAGTAAACTTTCCATGTTCATCATGTTCCCGTAGAACTTCATCTGATTCCCATCTCTCTCTAAAGCTTCAGCACGCACTATGGAATGCAGAAGCAATTCAACAGTCTCTATAATCAAGCATCCTTCATAACATTCTACAACAAAGTCTGTTCTATTGTTCCATGCAGATAACAAAGCTATTATCTACTTCATCAGCTACTTTTTCAGATAACAAACCATTAGCCATGGCCTGTTACATACATGCAAACTAAAGAACTCAGTTTGGAACCACAAGAATAAATCCACCTACCTATGTCATGAGGAACTGAAATGGTATAAGTGGAATTCCCATTCACTATTGATAGGCTTCATGAGATAAGAGATAGGGTGATAACCAATAGAGTCACATCAAACTAGTAGTTTTGTGTTGCCCACCATCTTGCTTTTGGCTGCACTAGAGAAAGGGACATCAAGAAGGTCCCAGATATGGCAGCACCCTCAGATAAGTTTTGTGCTTTGTGTATAGAAATTTCTCAGAGCTATAACTTCTCTTGTGACTATAATAATTCAATAGATAACAACCACATAAGAACAAATGTCAGCATTTTATTGTAATACGCAACCTTGAAGGACAAACAATCGGATAGCAGTTCAAAGTAGGTGTAGATAGCAACACCAAAGTATAGATGTCTATTGTGGAAGGAGAGCTGTCAATGGAAAATGAGTCCTTTGATAGGCCATCCATTCTCACAAAAAAGAAAACTGATTATTGAGTTCAATTGTTGGCTTGAGGTGTTTTGATTCACACAATTGATCTACTTAATAGAAATATAGATAGGTCAATTTCATTTATTTAGTTCAATGGTCAATCAAGCATTCATCTCTTTTGATGTGGTCAAGTTTCATTGCCAGCATCATCCAATCCTTCGAGGCAATCGAATTTACTTTCTAATATCATCCTATTGATCACAGCTAAACCATATGACTATGTTCATCGCATTCTACATGAGCGATAGAATTTCTTTTGTCTTTTTGGTCTTTAAGACATAAGAAGAGTGGCAGAGATACAAACCAAACCTGTAGTATGTGTCTGATATGAAAGATCTGAAAGGAGATTTGTGGTTAAAATAACATAATTACATCAGTCAAATTTAATTAAATGCAGTACTGTTTAAGGAAGTGACAATAATTAGTTTAATATGGTTTTGGTCCACTCTTTTGTTAACCTTGATTTAGTTTTTATCTCATAGTCATTCCAAGGTTGAGCCTTTTGTCTTCCTCCAAATGCAGGTAGTGAAATGGTGGTGATGCCAATTTCTGTCAATGAGGATGAAGCAGAGTTAACCAATGGTTAGTGAAAATTATGAACTCACAGAAAAAAAAAAAGTTAGATTTATTGTTCTTTACTTTTAGTATTTGTTATGTTTTGGATGTCAATTAGTTTACATTATATTAGCTTCTGTGGCTTCATTTGACAGATACTGAGATCATAAGGATGCCTCCTCCTGAAGAAGAGAAGGGAAGACTAAATATGACATTCACAGGTTGGTGTAAGCATATGTTGGCATTAAGAGAGAGAAGAATTTGAAGTATTTGGACTGTGTTTAGCATAAAAGAAAAACTAATAATAGATCTTCTTGGGGTGATGTGTTAGAAAGTTCATAAAAAAGAGGAGCACAAAAACTTTTTTGGTTGAAGAAATCTGAAAAATAAAAAATGAAATAGTGTTTGTTGTATATTTGAAAAAAAGTTTTCCTGATTTTTTTTTTGTTTTTCCCACCAAACAAACATCAGGAAAAAAAGTATATTTGTTTAATAGAAACAATCTGTTATAAGATTTTTCATTCATGTGGGATTCAGAACTTGGAAACTCATTTCATGAAGAAAGAAAACTTGGAAGCTCAGTGCAGCAGAGGAGGAATCAAAAGATGTTTGTGCAATCAATGTTTGATCTCACAATTCATGTGACACAGATTAATATATGCAATTTATCACTTTCTGTGAATTGGAATTCATATTCCTAAATGACAATAGCATTAGCCTTCTTAGAGGTAAAGGACAAGCAAACTTGAAAGCAAAAGTACTTTCATAATATTCTAAGCAGATGCCATGTATTCAAATACTGTTGATTTGCAATTAGTTCTCTTCTGTTCTATCTTGAACAATCATTAACTGTTCCAATAAAACATAGTAAACTTTGTAGTCATTAGGTTTTCTAGTCGCTTGTGATGATATATGTTTCTTACAACAATTACTTTGGTTCATTATTTTGTTTGAACAAGAAAAAAACAACAATGTTTCACCATTTATCACCAAATCATTCCATACCCTTACTTAAAGTGATCATGTTTTTGGTATTATAATTCAGAGGCTGAATTCTCAAACTCAACCATGGATGAAGAGCAGAAGAATAATGATAATGGAATTTACCCTACAACAAATGTCAAAGATGCAACAAAGCCTAAACAAGGTTGAAACATACTTTAAATATCTTCAGTGTATATATCTGTTCTTCTACCAACAAATGTCCAATGCCTTCTTTGCAGAATTTATCTTAGCAACAGGGAAACCAAAAGCAGAAGAAGGAACACAAGAAATTACCTCACAGACTGGTGAGTCTAAAGTCTAAACCTTAGATTCATTAAAGTCTAAAGTCTGATTTCGATTTCTTTTTTCGAGAATAATTGTGAATCCACCCAATATTATTAAGTATCAATCTTTGGTCTGAGAGGCAAATTTAATTGTCATTCGGAGTGTCTAACAAAGTTGATTGATTTACTTCACTCTGATCAGAGCAATAAGAACAAGTCTTATCCTATCACATAGTTGAATTGTTTCTTCCTCTTTGGAAAGAGAATTCAATAAGGTGTACATCTACTTTTCTGAGGAAGAAAAATTGCAATTACTCATAGATTTCCGCATCCAATATCGAATAATCTCTTGAAGAAATTCCAGTGATTAACTGTGGTAAAACCTTCTTGATTAATGGTAGAATGTCAAACAAGAATTCATAGCTCAGCAACCACATTTTTAGTTGCTCCTGTCAAGCATAACTTCACAATGCATAATGGTAAACTGCAGAGGGAGTTGCAGAGAGCAAGATAACCTGTGATCTATCCGAGCGTCGATCCGATACTTGTGTCATGCATGGTGATGTGAGAGTTCTTGGATACTCGTCTTCGATCATCTTGTCCAAAGCACCACAAGCAGATGCTCCCGGAGAAGAGAATACTTGGAAGATCAGACCGTATGCTAGAAAATGGGAGTCCCCATTGATGGAAATTATCAGAGAACTCACCCTCAAAGAATCCACAAAGCCAGCTGATACCCCCCAGTGCGCAGTTCATCACACGGTCCCTGCCATCGTCTTCTCCACCGGCGGATTCCTTGGCAACTTCTTCCATGACTTCACTGATGTGCTGATCCCCCTCTTCACGACCGCACGTCAGTACAGAGGAGAAGCCCAGTTCTTGGTGACCAACTTCAACTACGGCTGGATCAAGAAGTATGAGCAGATTCTACGACGGCTTTCGCATTACCAAATCATCGATCTGGATCGAGACGGCAGGGTGCATTGCTTTCGACATGTTCATGTCGGTCTCTTGAGCCACAAGGAGTTGAGCATGGATCCTGCCAAGTCTCCAAATGGCTACTCCATGGCAGACTTCAGGGAGTTCTTGAGGTCATGCTTCTCTCTGAAGAGGAAGTCCGTCAGCGCCGGCAACAGGAAGCCGAGACTGCTGATGATCAACAGAAAGGGGCCGAGGTCCTTCACCAACAGAAGGGAAGTGGCGTCGCTGGCACGAAGCTTGGGCTACAAAGTGGTGGTCGCCGGCCCTGAGGAGACGAAGAACCTGTCGAGGTTTGCACGCGTGGTCAACTCCTGCGACGTGATGATGGGCGTGCACGGCGCAGGGCTGACCAACATGCTCTTCCTGCCCACCGACGCAGCGCTGGTGCAGGTAATCCCATGGGGCGGGTTGAAGTACGCCTGCGGCCATGACTTCGGAGAGCCTGCACCGGACATGGGACTCAGGTACTTGGAGTATGAGATCAAAGAAGGGGAGAGCTCACTGATGCGGCAGTACCCGAGAAGCCATCCAGTGTTCACAGATCCTCTTTCGATTCACAAACAAGGTTGGAATGTCCTCTGGTCCGTCTTCCTCAACAAACAGAGTGTGAGGCTCGATGTCAGAAGGTTCAAAGGCGTCCTGCAAGAAGCCATGAACGCACTGCCTCATTAGGAGGAAGTCGGTGTTCCACTCAGGTTGATTTGATTCTATTCTTCATCGATGAATATAGAACATTGTTTATCGAATACATTGAATTGAGGAGCAGCAACGAGTTGCGAGGGCACACCTTATTGGTTCCCAGCCATGGTTGCCACAACACAGGGTGTCCATGTTGTACTCGGTTGCCGATGCTTGAGTTCGTTAGCTCTTGTGGGACCCAGAAACGAGAGCCAACGAGAGATGGCCCTCTCTTGTTTGGTCGCTCGGCTAAGACATCGGAGCCGCACCTCCACGGTTTTGCGTGATCATTTAAGGCGAAACCCAACCGCCGTTAGACGATTTGCATCTCTCTGTTTGGAACAGTTGAGAGAGAGAGAGAGAGAGAGAGAGAGAGAGAGACGATCGCAACGAGATCAACGAAGAGGATACGGCCGAGCAGATTGCCGTAGAGGCATCCACCCAATATCACAGGTCACTCGATTCCTGCCCCTCCTTCCTCTCTTTCTCCTCTCCTTTTGTCGTCGGGGTCTCATTTTAGGGTTTCGAATAATTCTTTTTCTTGTAATTTCTTGATTTCTTCTTGGAGGATCTTCAAAATCTGCTGCTGGTATCACGTTTCTTGAATCTAATGCGTTCTGTTTTCTTGCGGATTAACTGGGCAAACCTTGAGGGAGAACACAAGAGACATCCGGTGTCTTTGGGCATATTTCATAATGGTAGAAATTGTGTACATTGGTTGTGTTGCCTCTGGACATATTTCAAATGCATGATCGGATGCAATAAAATCTCTTATTTGCCGTAATTTTTTTGTTGCTTGCAAGTTGTTATGGCCCAAATGGCAACAGGCGACGCCCAGAATTGGTATCCGTTGACAGAGTGGTTTAGGCTCATGCACACTATCTGTGTGGAGTTGTTAAAGTAGACCATACGAGCTAATTATACAAATACTAGCAAGGGTGGCATTTCTTGAACTCGGGATGGCGTCGCGTACAAAGCCAACCACTGGAACTCGGGACGGCACCGCCAAGTACAAAGACGCTCCCGGAAACTCGAGACGGCGCTGCCAAATACAAAGCCGACCTCGGGAACTCGAGACGGCGCTGCCAAATACAAAGCCCACCTCGGGAACTCGGGACGACGTCACAAGGCACAAAACTATCCCGATGCAGGCATCGATCGCACAGAAGGTACAAGCTAGCCATCAACAAGGGTCGACAGTCATTAAACAAACCCTATACGATCAACCCTCGTGCACAGGTATAAGAGCCAACTACTTGGCTACGCCAAGAGAGACTTTCTTCCCGAACAACTTGCGAGAAGACTTTGAGTGAGATCCAACTCCACTAACTTCGAAGAGGTCGAGTTGGGAAACCACCCCCCCAACTTCGACAACTTGCTTCGCTCGACCCAACCCGATGACTGGCCTATGGGCGTCTCCTTGGACATCTTGAGCCGAACCAAACCATGCTGACTTCTCAACCCACGGTATAAATAAAGTTCACTAACAATGTTGGCTCTTTCTTTTCCACAAATTAGTGGGCATCATGATTCCTCGTTATCTGATTAAAATGTGAGAGGGATCGCTATCTCAGAACGAGTCAGTCAGACAACCCAAACATTGATCAATAGAGCAGTTCTGAAATCAACGAAGATTCCCAGTCCTACAAACTATCAGCAAAAATACTCACAGGATGATAACCATTTTTTTAAAGGGAACCTAACACGAAAAGAATCGAGAAACGCAAGAAGAGATCGGAAAAGAAAATACATATACCTTCACAAGAAAACAATCAATCAAGGAAAGAAAGAACTATAGCATAAACGATCCCTTACATGAAAAACCATGCGGATATGAAGAACCCAACAATGCATCAAGATGGAGAGGGTTAGATATCATAAAGCAGGCGGGAAGGCGTTCATCATGAGCTCCAATGACTGTGATGATCCGCTTCATCAAAACAGGCCAACAAGAACGAGAAATCTCAGAACTCTCAAGAAAATTGAATGGGAAAAAAAAAAGAGAAAAAGGCAGATACATGAGGTTAAACTGTGAGAGAATCATGAAATTTTACCATCTTATCGAGGAGAAGGTAGAAGAAAATCACTCTTACCAAAATTGAGAGAGGGTCTAAGGGATTGGACAAAAATGACACGTCGTCAGAAGAAAAATATTTATAGCCAAATACCGTCATGTGATAAGCATATATGATATTAAGCCCATAGACACAACCCAAAATGAGATAGTATTCGAGTCATAATTTAGGTAACCGAGTTACATCAATACCTCGAATTGTGATTGTAATATTCATTAAATAATTATGATAGTTGTTTTACTATCACAATCTTAGGCGACATACATTTGGTATCATAATTATTTCATGAATATTACAATCACAATTCTGCCAAGATTGGAATATTCTGCCAACAAGTGGATGCTACTGAGGCTAAAGGTCTAAATCATGTCATGTTGTAACCAGCAATAACATCTGCTTAGGATCTGACGAAGTTAAAATTATGGTTCTAACTATTCTTTTATATCAGGATGAGAAATATGAAGTTAGATTAGACCATCACAAAATGGTGTGTATTTTCATTATTTTTAGTTCCATTATGTGTCATGTACTCGAAAATCTGAATGCAATATGAAATATATATAAAAAAAAGGACTAAGATATAAACTAACAAAGATGAAAAGAAAAGGAAATAATTGTTTTGTACCAGTCCCAATGACAGCAAGTATAGGAGCTTCTTACTAATATACAGCTCCTCCTCCCAGGAAACACATAGAATGGGTCATGCATTTAGATTCATATTTATCACATCTCCTCATCCCCCCAGCATTTGCAATGTGCAACACATCCATAGAGCAGTAATGCATTATAATGTAGACAAGAAGTCAACTAGACATCATTGACAATGTGGCTTTACACAAATATGACTCTAAAAAAAGTATGTTAAGTTAATAGAATGGCACAAACAAACATAAACACCGGCATCAATGGCATTCATACTCTTATCTGATGGCTTTATTTGTTTGATATGATGCAGATATTATCACTACCATAGCAGATATTGTAGGAGCAAACAACTTCAATACACACGTTTTTTTCTTTTTTCTTTTTTTTGAAGAATTTGTGCTCAACTAATATCAGCTTGCCACCAAATGTTCCTTTATATTTATTAAAAAATAATCCTATATGATCTGTCCACATCTGAACTTTTTGTTTTCTTTTGCCATTTGTCCACAAATAGCGGGCCATTTAATTTAACAAGAAATAATTAATTTGATAGCATAAGGAGCCATAACATGCAACATTGGATTATGGTGGTCACCAATATTTACTATCATTATCCACTTATATTTTCGTAACTGCTACGGTGTTTGGGTCTTTTCCACATAACTTACATCAACGATGCACTGATACCTTCATAATTCCTTATAATTGTTCAATCCCAAAAAATGTAAGAGCTCATCATGACGACGACAGTTGCTATCAAGAAGTTGATGCAGCCAATCAAACAATCGAAACATCGATCTAACCACCATTATCTTAAAATGTCAATTGCCGAATAGTACTCAACAGAGTCGTAGAAATAAACTATTAACGACTGGAAACAGTTGAAACCTAACATCACTGTCCTTAATCCTACTAGTGCTAGCATACATATCCAAGAATGGCAACATTCTTTAACAAACCTAACACGAAAAGAATCAATAAGAGATTAGAACAGAAAGGACATAAACCTTCAAGAGAAAACAAACAAGAACGGTGGGAAAGAACGGACTATAGCCTAAGCGATTACTTGCATCGAGAATATCTCAAGTCAGCATCAGGACAGAGAGGTTTGTACGAGCGGGTCAAGGCTCGTCACCGGATCCGGCTGCGATGATCCGCAACAAGAAAGCAAACGAACAAGAACGAGAAAGAAAATCTCAAAACCCTAAAGAACCTCAAACGAAGAGAACGAGAGAAAAATCGAGAGAAATCAACGAAAGATCGAGCGAGAGCGGAGAAGTTTTACCATCCAATCAAGGAGGAAGTACAATCAGGTCGCTCAAAACTTCGTCGCCCTTCTGCACACTGCTCCGAGGATTTCGATGGGGACACGAGGCTCCGATCCAAGAAAACAAGTGAAGGATAGATCTCAAGACACCGGGAGGAGAAAGATCAAGAGTTCGATCCAAGAAAACAAGTGAACAAGGACATATCTCAAAAGGAACAGGAGTTAGAGAAAACGAGAAAGATCAGCGAAGGATCGAGAGGGAATCGAAAAGTTTTATCATCTGATCGAGGAGGACGAAGAAGATCGCTCCATCCTTCGTCGCGCTCGTTTTGCCGCCTCACAGAAATTTGATGAAACGGTAAGCAGAAACCTCAACTTGAGCGGCAATCATAGCCAAATAACGTCACGTGTTGTCCACGTGATAGTTCCAAAACCGACATATGGTCACTCATATGTAGCATGAACAAAAGACGGCTTTAATTTGTCGGTCCTCTTTTGACTTAGTCGTACGTTTGGTTCGGTCAATCATAAATAACTTAATAGGTTCCAAATTGATCTCAAGCCAAACCATCCCGAGAACGAATAGACTCGATCAAACCCGTGCCTAATGCACGCGGCTAATGCATGCTTTGTGGCAAGTTTAGGAGATAATTAAATTAAATTAAATTCATATATATATATATATACATATATATACATATATACATACATATATATATACATATATACATATATATATATATATAGAAAACGATGTTTAGTTCCCAGAACAGCACGTCGAAAACGTTGTGTCGAGAAAGCGATCGCCGTTGCTGCGATCGATCTCTCCCCCGTTTCTGCTTTCTTCTTCTTTTCCGATTCTTCCTCTCCGATGCGTCTCGTCTATGGAACATTCTTTCTTTCTTTTCTGCTTCTCATCCTGCGCATGCCTGCAGGCGAAGCCCTCCGATCTGTCGGTGACGGCACCGATCTCCGCACCGACCTCCCCGACGCCACCGTGGAGCTCAACAGCTCCAATTTCGATAGCGTTCTCAAGGAATCGCCGGCGAGTTTCGCCATCGTCGAGTTCTTCGCTCACTGGTGACGCCTTTCGTTTCTTCTGTGCCGTTCTGTTCTTGGTTTTTCCTCTCTTTTTGTTCCGTCAGTTCAGTTCTTGATTTTAGAGCGGGTTCGGGCATATGGTGATTCGAGAAAAAACAAGAGGATGTTCGTGTTTAGCTTCATGTGATTGCCTATCATCGAGTTTTATTTTTGGTTTAATTTGGATCAGATACTGATCGATGTGTCCAAAAAATTCGGTAACTTTAGTTGCTCTATTTTGTTTGGACTTATGATCGATATGACCAACGAGACAATTAATAGCGTGGGTAGAATGCAATTTATGATTCTTTCAGTGTCAAAGAGCGCATCTGATATGCACCGCAGTACAGCTCATCACAATTCACAAAGTGTTCTGTTTTGGGAATCTGACAAAGTGTTTGTGATCGTGGTGAAGCAAGTTGATAATAAATTGTATAAAATGCTTCCAAAAATGTATTAGAAGAGATCGGCTATCAGTAACAGTACTTGCAATCTGGAAAGTCTCCTATTTATGTAGAATCTGTACTCACCTGCACACTATCAGAATCGAGATAGTTTCATTGGAAAGGCTCGCGTGTCCAATGTTAAAATTATTTAGCTGTGAAAACTTGATATTTGATGGATAAACCAGATCTTCAAAATGGAATTTTTAGATTTAGTTTCATCTTCTTTCAGTTGATGTGGACCAAGTCGAGCTCCACCTTTGATCAATTCATGAAGTGCTGAAAGAGAATAGGAAGCTTCTGTATATTGATCCCTTGACATATAAAAATCTCGTGGATGTTTCTAAAAGCCCAAAATATGTAAGGTACTAAAAAGGGATCCTGTGTATTTGAGGAAAGAATCTAGTTGAGTTTCAGGTCATCGTATTAAGAACTTACACTATGATGCATCTTTCTCAATGTCTTTGGGATTCTTTAGTTTGTGGTTCAAATTGTTGATCTTTTTTTTTCTTCTTCTTCGTTTATTGTACATCATTCTCTTCCAATACGGTGAGCATAAGGTCATCGTAATTTGCAGCAGACACTAATATCCTGAGTCTGACAACACATTGAGCGGCACCTTAGCTGCTCATATCTGTTTACTTCAATCTCAACCAGGATTTGGTTAGTCGCTTAAGTTTTTGCTTCAGGCTACTAGCAGCAGTATTGTTCCTGCTATGATGGGTCACCTCCCCTCCATCCCCCCACTTTCACCCCTCGCCACCTCCCCCCCCCCCACCACCATTTCCTTAGGCTCCCCCCTTCCTCCTCTCACCTTCCTTCCCCACCCCATTGCCGGCACTATTGTTGCAATATATGTCAAATCACATATATTTTAAACTCTGATCTATTAAAGGGCATATTCATTCTAAGACCAAAAGGAGAAGACATGATGGTTCTTTTCTTTATGTTTATTTCTAGCTACAATAAATGCTTGAAGAAATCTCTGTTTGTCTCTCCCTTTGTTTTTATGCGTTCTTCAATTGGATGAACAGGATCTAGATTGGAAGTATATCTGTTTTCATATGTTTGGTTGGCAGATAATGGTGCCATGAGCAATGTGTGTGCCCTTATCAGACAGCCCACATGAATATGGAAGAGCGTGCACGTATGTGTCTACTATGTACAGGCACATATACATGTTTGTATGTGCACGCACCACACATTCTCTATGTAATACATTGAAAGGTTTTGGAGTTTTTATTCATGATTCACCTTATCAATCCATATCGGTGTACTGACTGGCAATTAGTATGGTACATACCGACGTATCGACACATGGTATGATAGAGTGTACCGATAGACTAGTATGTACCACCCATACTGATCCCCTATTTGACCGGTATATACTGCCCATACCGAGCGGCACACTGTTGTACGACGAACCTTGCTTTGATTCTTCTCATCCAAAATCAATGATAGAGCACTTAAAAGATTTTAGTTTGCCAAAACTTTTAGTCATTTGCATGAATGTTTAATTTAAACAAAATGAATGGTATGCATTGAGATGATACATGAAATTTTGTCTTCAAATGCTTAATAAAAATTTAAGCTGTTGATCATGATCTAATTACTTTGAAGACATGTATAAAAAAGTTCAGCATTTCAACTGATTGGATTTGTTACTTTTAGAATCACATAATGGTGAATAGATGATCATGAAATAGGTTGAATTTTTCTTCCCATGCATGCAAGATCTATTAATTTATAGGCTCCATGGTGCCGGTTTCTCATTTGATTGGTCTATTGATTATGAATGGGGAGTATCAAGACATAGGTATCATGTTTTGATATTTTCATTTATAGATCACAACTTGGTGGTCCATTTTGCAGTCAATGTGTTTGCTATTCATTGTTTGTCATGTACTCTCTGCGGCTATTGTCATCTTGATTCTAGCAAGTCAGTGTTGCATGCATGTCTGCATGATGTACTGGAAGTTACATATATAGTTGAAGTTTGTCTTTTACTTAACTGATGTAGAATGTTGAACATGTTAATATCAGTTTTGTAAGCAATTGCACTTTCTATTTGGTATGCTTGAATCTTATAACTTGTTTGACTCAACAGGTGTCCTGCTTGCAGAAACTATAAGGTATTTAGACTTGTTAATTCTGGTTATATGCTTCAATTTTCCTTGATTGTTAACTTCAATCATAATTGAGCCACAATCATTCAGCCTCACTATGAAAAGGTTGCAAGGCTTTTCAATGGGCCAGATGCAGTGCATCCTGGGATTATACTCATGACACGGGTTGATTGTGCAATGAAGGTAATTATGTCTTGAATTTAGAAACAACAATCTTGTTTAATTTTCATCCATTGTATTTTTTATAAGGTTTCACATGAATTGCATTTTCTCAAGTCTTAAGTTCCTATTTTTTAGTCTTTTCTTCATCATGTTCTTTAATATCTTGGACATGGTGTCCATTATGAGCACAGCCATCAGTACTATGCTGTGCACTACTATGGCCTTCAGCTGTTTTACGTCTGAAGGTACAGACAAGGGGCATAAAACTTCAACAAAGACATTAATATATACAAGAAAATACATGGAAAGAACATTTTAAATGAGAAATTCAATATTTCGTGATTCTTCTATTGAAACTTGATAAATCCAAAAAGTCCATCCAAGTTTTTACAAAACTGTAGGTTGTGGAAGAAGAATTTCTTATTCAACGCAGCAAGCTTGAATCAGCTATCAAGTTGGCTTATTTACTAACATGTGATGTTCCTTTTTCTTCCAGAACAAGCATGCAATAGTAAAATAGCTGTAGTTTGTACAAAATTTAATATGCCATATAAACTATAGATAAAAAAATATAAAGTTCCAAAATTCACTCTGAACTACTTAACTTTTGACTTCATGGATAAGCTTACTCTTCCCAAGTGAGATCTCTTTATAGCTTGTTAATTATCTTTGGTGTGATTCTTTGGGTAAAAAAGCAAGCACTCCAATCTTAATTCATGATAGGGGAAACAAGAATGGGGGATCCATTAAGCAATCGCCACCCCTATTGTTACTGGAAGGATCCAAAGCTTCATCAAAATTGAACTTTAACCTCAAAAAGGGTCGTGTTTCTGATTTAATCTGCTTGAAATCCACAGAGGTCATTCTTAGAAGGCTGCACAGATAAGTAGCCTATAATGATGCTTAGATCCTTCCAAACCAATTGTTGGTTATTCTGAACCACCAAAGGCTACCATGCATCTGTTCATTCAGTTTCCAAAGGATATTAGGAATTTTGGCATCTATTCATCCAGTTTAGTAGAAGGATATTATGAAATTTGGCCTTTAGGATAATTTTGCTGATCAGATTCCTACAGTAAATGGTCAGTAGTCCAGTCCCCATTAAGCCAATCAGGCTAAAATGTGGATGACCATATTTGATTTAAAAAGTTTCCCAAATTTCCACATTATATTTGCACACAAAGAATATATGCTCAGTAAATTCATTGGACAACACAATAGTGCCAACTCCATCAGGGTAAAGATGCATGGCATGCTAAAAATTGTTAGTGAAAATTTTAATTCATTTTTTTTCCACGGAAAATTTAATTCTAGGAGGAACAATAAGTTTCCATATCAAATTCCAGCCTTTCCAAGGATCGTAGCTTGATGTGGTTTAATGGGCATTACAAATCATGGCAAAAAGTTTGATGTCCCCATACTCAAGTGAAAGATTCTAGCTCAAGGACTATTGTCCTAATTAATGGATATAGAAAAAATTCCTGGCCCTAAGGGAAGACTTGGCTGTTCTAATCTGGCAAATCCATCCTTATCGATAGGCCTAACAAGATTTCATGAGTAAATTAGGTGTGGGACATTGTGTTTAGGTCTTCTATCCCAAAGAAAATTCCTAGAAATTATGGTAATCTAATCTAACATACCGTTGGGAGACCACATATGTTTAAGCTAGTTAATAAGAAAGACAACTAGAGTACACTTTACTAATCCAGCCTTACTAGGTAAATGCAAGGCATCTCTTTTCCGTCCTACAAATTTCTCAGTTACAAAATGAGGTAAGGTGATTCTTTTGTGAGAAAGAATAGCATCCAAGTAATAGGAAAGCCTAAACACAACAGACAGCTAAGGAGCTTTTAGGAATTTGGATAGAATTTAATCGAATATATCTCTATTAAACTTTTGGTTGGAGAGAGTTGCATTAATCTTTAAGAAAAATATTAATGGATTTAGCATCTCTAGCAGAGGTCTTAGTCATCAAAAGTATATCACCAGCAAATATCAGGTGAGAAAATTTCATTCCTTAGGATTCACTCTTCATTGTAGTGCTAGTCACTGTCAAAGCTCCACGGGAAAAGGCATGCCAACAAACACCAATGTTTGCATGTTTATTCCAGTACATGGTGGATCAACATGGGCTAGCTGCTAACAATGAATTTATATTATTGGTTGCTACTATTTTTGGGCTTCTTGACCTAGAACACATGGCTTTCTGTTGGTTTCTGGTTTCTACACTATTAGTTAATTTGTTCATAAAGCTGACAAGCTTCTTCCTTAGTGTTTCTTCTTTCCTTGAATAACTCACAATTCCTATCAAGGAACATATAATATGCTGAAGAAAAAATGGGTATTTAATGGGCTAGTATCTGACAAAGAAGCAATCTTGTTTGGTTCCAGAGTAGCTTCTGGAATCTTGAGGGTTAGCCTGTTGGAACTAATTTTTTATCTCCTTTCTATGAGGATGTATTTTTAGAACATTTCAATATGCTTCTAATTAGTAACTGGTGTTAATCAAGGATTGTCATGTCAATTAGTGCTGGTTTTTACATATCATGCTAAAAGTGGTTCCACGATGTTGTGTGTTGAGCCATGCTGGCTGGGTCAATGATTTTGGCTTATGTTGATTGGCAATCTAGCATGCCGACTGGCAGGACTAGACACCAGATTACTAGAAAGTAATTGACATGTCCTGTGCCATGAAACAACAATCTGTGGCTCAATTGATCTGGCTTCAAGATATTCTTTTCCACTTCTTGCCTTTTTTCAACAGTTGACCTATACTTTTGAGTAATTTACTGATTACTTCCTTCTTCATACATTCTGTTTGGCAGCACAGATAAATGCAAATCTTTGTGATAGATTTTCAGTTGGTTACTATCCCATGTTATTGTGGGGTCCTTCAGTTAAATTTGTGGCTGGTAAATGGGACCCTAAGCAAGAGAAAAGTGAGATACAATCAATTGATGATGGACGGACTGCAGATCGACTACTCAATTGGATAAACAAAAAAATGGGCAGGCAAGATGTTGGTTCTCATTTTACCTTTCAGTTTTTGAATAATATGGAGATCCTACCAGTGGTAGTGACTGTTTAGATTTTTTTTTCTCAATTATCTTCTTCTTAGAACTACCCTTTATTTGTATATATGCATTTCCAACATAAAAGAAAAGAAAAAGAAAACCTGCCATGTAGTCTTAATGTAATCAGGATCGGGTTATACCACATGATGCATCAAAGTATGCTTTATCTATGAACCAAAACTCCTTTAAGAGGAATTATAATAACCAAGGCACTAGATTATGATCCAAAAGTTATTTTCTGACAAAGGTAAAAAGAGTTGTGCGTTTAAAATTTCTGCTGTTTGTTCTCATTACATTGTACAGGGCAGTCTTCCTTCCTCATCTATTGTCTTAGCTTTTTTCATGTATACTTGTGTAGTTGTTGCTTGCACAAGAATTAGTTACTGTTGCTGCTAGATGGTCAGATTTCATAGTGTTCTACGTCAGGAAATTGATGACTTGGGATTTCATATCTTTTATGTTTATTTACTTTGTACTGAAGATACTAGGATTAGATGGAAGTTATCTCAATGGTAGGTAATTTCTGTTCTATGCAGTTCATTTAGCTTTGATGATGAAAGATATGAAAATGAAAACACACTTCCAACAAATGTCTCTGATCCTGAACAGGTACACACCACTTAGATATTCTAAGTGGTATATTAACATCATTTTAAATTAGTTCTTTGAGTTGAAGATACATTTGTCATTGTCTTATTTCTAGCAATCACTTTGAGAGTGTTATAATACTTCTGTTGTGGCAGATTGCACGAGCAATTTATGATGTTGAGGAAGCAACAGCCTTAGCTTTCGAGATAATCATACAACACAAAGTTAAACTTATTTCTCTTAACTGTACATTTGGGTTGATTTTTCAGATTTTAAAACCCAAGAAGATAAACAACATTACCCTTGTAAAATGCAGATGATCAAGTCAAGTACTCAAGCACCACTGATAAAATTTTTTCAGATTTTGGCAACACATCATCCTTCAAAAAGGTTAAAGATTGATCTATTCACAAATTGAAGTAATTTATTATATTCCTAATTGCTTATTATTGACTTTGGTATAGGTGTCGGAGAGGAATTGCTGAGATACTTCTCAATTTCGATGACCTGTGGCCTTCCGGTCCGCTCTCAATCAGTTCAGAAGAGGCTCCCATATTACAGGAACAGGACGTACTTAAATCCTATTCAATCTGTGGCAAGGAGGTTCCTCGTCATTATTGGGTGGGCACTAAACTTTCGTCATTTTGTTGATTCAGATTTTGTCCTGAGGAATAATAAACAAAATCATTAAGTTTTGGAATTGTAATAATCTTCTCTGGATTTATCTAGCTTCACTACCCTAAATGTAAATTTGCATTTACATAATCAAAACCCATAGCTGGGAAAAGTCAATAATTTAGATTATGTATACCTTTTTCAGTTTCTTGATTCAGATTTCTCCTCACTAATAAATAAAATCATTTAGTTTTGAAATTGTCATAATCTTGTCTGGATTTGTTTGTAGCTTCACTACTCTAAATGTAAATGTGAAAATACTCAGTCAAAATCCACAGCTGTGCAAAGTCAATAATCTAGACCAAGTATGCTATGTGATTCAATCCACTGAAGATGATGACCACGTCCAGAACGTAATTTTTCCATTCGTGAGTGGTCTTTTGAGTTCTAGTCACCCTTTTACATTATTGATAGACTACTTCTGTTATCCAAACTGCTGTACCTTGATTCCTCTTGTATGTTAAGGCCTTCTAGTGTATTTTATCTTGTTGTAATACTTGGACCTTGACTGATCTTTGTAGCTTAATTTTGAACTGCACTTGGTGAATCATAATAAACCAGAGAAGAAATTAACTGAAGCTCTTTTCTTATATCTTCTATTGCTTTTCCTTTGAAGGTCTGACTTTGATGTGCCATCCCATTCTTCTGTTCTAAGAATTGTTGCTATTGTAGGATTTTTTTAATTATTAATGTGGATAGAGAATATAACTGGAACTTTTGATGACCTCACAGGCATGCCAAATTGCATTCTGATCTGATCAGATCCAAAATTGCTCGAGTTATTCTTGACCCACATGTACAATGTGGATGGAGAATAGCACCACCTGATTCCATTTTAACTAATGACTGAAGTTGTTAGGTTTTCTTATCACAGCTAGCCTATCCTGCTATGAATTTACTAATCAATGAGATGAATCATTCATAAAGCCATCGTTAACTAAAATAGTAGTTAGAATTTCTGATGATCTGGCAGGCATGTCAGATTGCGTCTGATCTAACGATACAGAAGTGGTCGAGTTATGCTTGACCAACAATACTTGTTTTTTATGTAGTGGACAGATAATGATACCACCAGATTCCACTTTTACTGGTGACTGAAGTTCTTAGGTTTGCTTATCACGGCGACCCTTTCCTGCTATGAGTTAACTGATTGATGAGATAAATTGTTCTATAAGATAAAGTGAATTAATAGGTCATATCTAATATGTAACTAGGTAAAGAACAATTGGCAGATTTTCTAAATCATGTGGATCTATGTTGCAGATATTTTGTCGTGGGAGCAAAAACGATACGAGAGGCTTCAGGTGCTTGCAACTTGTATCCATTTTGATTGCTGTACTATGGTATTGTGCTCTTCATGAAGCAATTGAATAGTCTTAAATGGTATATACTTGATTATAGGGCAATTGGAGGGTTGGACCACATAAGTCATTCTGTGGTAGCTCAAATATGGAATATGAATAAAAATTATACATCAAAAAATCAGAGATGCTGACTATGGTTTTAAGTTTCATGCTTCTTTAAATCTGCCCCATATAACATATTATATAGATCCAGAAATTAAAATATCAACATTGTACCTGTGATATCTTACAAAAAAGCTAAAATCAAATTGATTAGGTAAGGAATGGATACTAAAAACAATGAAATGGAATCTGTCTATCCAATTTCATAGACAACTTAAGGATTATAAACAGATCAAAGATCATAGGTATATCCTTTCTTTTCTTTCTCACATATGCATCCATGATGCTTTATATGGCTTGTTATTTATGTCAGTTTAGTTCTCTGCATTAGTTTCTTCCTTTTGTACTCCTTGAAGGGTTATGGGAAGGGCAAGGAATGAAATATGTCCTGTGATGTTAGTTTACTAGATATTTGTAGCTTGATTGTCTCCAAGAGAAATGGCCTGAATCCATTTAAATATTTTGCTGTAGCAACTGACATAGCTGGCTGATGTTGAGCTTGCAGTTTACATTGACAATTTGGACTGAAAATTGGACTTATAAGATTGGGGCATGACTAATGTTTTTAAGAATTTAATGAGTTGGCGATGATGCTAATTTTTGTTCCCTTCACATATTATTTGGGAGTGCAGCATCTTCATGTGTGTTAAATGGAAATTTATTGAATGATGTGGCCGCATATATTATTGATTGTTGGCAGTGAGAATCTCATAGACTGCTTACATAAAATCTTCTGATCACATAATGTGTCGTCAAACAGACTAATGAAGGTGATAGTTTGGCTTACTCTTTTAGTGCTTGTTGCAGCTGTGGCCTATGGGTTCTGTTCCACTCCCTGTCCGTCAGGGTTGGAGATGGAGAGAGCCAATCGGTTTTCACTGCAATATGTGATTTTATCCAGAACTTTTTTGTCTGCGACGACTGCCGTAGGCATTTTCATGAGATGTCTTCAAGGTAAATATCACAATTTTATAATCTGCTGCTCTCAAGTATTTTATCTTTACAACATATGACTTTGGAGTGCCTGCAGTGTCTCAGTACCATTTAACAGAACTCGCGACCTGAGCATGTGGCTATGGAGGGCACATAATAAAGTCAACGAGAGACTCAACAAAGAGGAAAAGGCATTAGGCACAGGTGATCCACGATTTCCGAAGATCATATGGCCCCCGAAGCAGCTCTGTCGGTCGTGTTATGTATCTTCAAGCAGGAAAAGACGCAGCAACATGAAAATATATTGGAATGAGGATGAGGTGTACAAATTTCTGGTCAGATATTACGGGAGGACCCTTGCATCTTCTCACAATGATGCAACTTTGAGTAGCAAGTACGATGAATCCTACGACATCACCACCTCAACTAATGCAGTTGCGGTACCCGTTGGGGCTGCATTGGCCATCGCGGTTGCTAGCTGTACATTTGGAGCATTAGCTTGCTTTTGGAGAGCCCAGCAGAAGAATAGGAAGTACACACACCAACTTCATTCTTTCAAGGACATATGATTAGTAGGATGCTAAACATTCTGTGTTATGTTCTAATTAACGAGAATTTTTTTTTATTATTTTGCCCGAAAAGCTGACCATTTTACTGACATTCATGATATTTCTGGAAAAGAGAAATTTGGAAGTGAGATGCATCCCAAAGTATCAGCCTTCTGCAGCTGTTAAATAAAAGTCGAAATATGCACAGTCAAAGGGATCATCATTTGGAGCTCTCCTGTTCTAATTACCTTATTTCTGTTCTTTAGCTGGGGATGAAGTGTATATATTATTTCACCATTGCAATTTTGGAGACAGCAACCCGACGCATGCTTGTAGGATGCGGAGAACACCAAGTTGAAATAAAAAGTTCTCCTCTTTCCTATTGTGCAACTTCCATATCCACTTTTATGAGGTAAGAGACAACTTGGAAACCAGAATTTGTGCCTCATCTGTTTGTGTCAATTTTGGTCCTTCAATAAATTTTTTGCTCCTGCAAAGTTTATGCTGAGAACCCCCCCAAGGATTTGGTTGGTCAGGATCAGGTTTTATGTGATGACTGGTTATTAGCATGTAGTTTGCTTACATGCAGCCAAAATAATTAGCAGGATAACGACTGCCCTTTTGCCAAGTCAAGTGTCGATCACCGTAAAGGGTCATTCTCGCCACTTGAAATTTAGCATGATCGAAGTCATATGGCACACTCAGATAACAATTTATGAGGCTGTGATCGTTAAACCGTCTTATTAGTCTAAGACGATCGAACTCGTCAATTTTATTATAGAATACAGTTAAAATTAAGATCGGTTAATTACCCAATCTTAACTGAATTATTATTTATAACACCTTCCGTGGCCGTTGATGGATCCGTCGCCTTTCGTTTCTCGAGTCCGTAGTTGATTTCGATGCCGGAGTTGATTTCGATGCCGGAGTTGATTTCGATGCCGCCGAGGAAGACGGACGACCGGAGGTGGTGGAATTAGTAAGCTGGTGCCGGTAACTGCCTCTCTATTATTAAGCAGGCGTCTGTGTGTGTGTGTGTGTGCAGGCAACCGTGTCCCACGCGCCACCACCCACCGTTTCGTGAGCCTGGAATGGGTTAGGTTAATTGGGAATGGCCGGGTAAGGAGGGAGGGCTGTCAACGGCGATGACCGACATGGAGAAGAGCTCGGTCGTAAGCCGTGTGCCGCGGCGGCGGGAGATCGGCATCTCCTGCATGCTCAACGCGGAGGTGGGCGCCGTCCTGGCGGTGATGCGCCGCCCGCACGACCCGGGCGTCGCCTCCCCGGACGAAGCCGCCAATCCCCACCTTCTCCACTCCCTCAAGGCCCTCCGCTCCCTGCTGTTCCACCCCCGCCAGCTCGGCGAGTGGCGCGCCACCGACCCCTCCGTCTATCTCTCCCCCTTCCTCGACGTGGTGCAGAGCGACGACGTGCCGGCGGCCGCCACCGGCGTCGCCCTCTCCACCGTCCTCAAGGTCCTCAAGCTCGACGTGTTCGACGAGCACACCCCCGGCGCCCGCGACGCCATCCACTCCATCGTCTTCGCCGTCACCAACTGCCGCCTCGAGAACACCGACAGCGCGTCGGAGGACGCCGTCCTCATGCGCGTGCTCCAGGTTCTCACGGCCGTCATGCGCACCCGCGCCTCTGTCCTCCTTACCGACCACGCTGTGTGCACCCTCGTCAACACCTGCTTCCAGGTGGTGCAGCAGTCGGCGCACCGGGGCGACCTCCTGCAGCGGAGCGCCCGCCACGCGATGCACGAGCTCGTCCAGGCCATCTTCGTGCGCCTCCCTGACGTGAGGGTGCCAGTGGAGAGGCCGGAGGCGGAGGACGAGGTCGCCACCACCGGCAGCTACGGAGCTCGCTGCATGGTCGACATCTTCCACTTCCTCTGCTCGCTCCTCAACGTGGGCGAGGTCATCGACTACGCCGACAGCGTCGGATCCATCAGCTCCGACGAGGACGTCCAGCTCTTCGCGCTTGTGCTCATCAACTCCACCATCGAACTGGGAGGCGAAGCCATCGGGAAGCACCCCAAGCTTCTCCGGATCATCCAAGACGACCTCTTCCACCACCTCATCCACTACGCCACCCACACGAGCCCGCTCGTCCTCTCCATGATCTGCAGCACCGTTCTCCATCTCTACAACTTCTTGCGACGGTACGCGTCCAACCACCATGAACCAGAGAAGGCGAGGAGCAGCAATGCATGTCAACACCATATCCCTACGTGCTCGCAGGTGTCTCAGGCTGCAACTGGAGGCGTTGTTCACCTACGTGATGCTCAGGATTGCAGCAGGAAGCAACGGCGCCCAGCTTCAAGAGGTGGCGGTCGAGGGGATCACCAGCTTCTGCCACCAACCCAACTTCGTCATCGAGACATACGTCAACTACGACTGCGACCCGCTGCGGCACAACGTGCTGGAGGAAGCCGCGAGGTTGCTGTGCAAGATCGCGTTCCCCGTGGGCACCCCCATGTCCCCCCTGCAGATCCAGGCCTTCGGCGGCATCGTCACCATCATCACAACCATCGCCGACAACATCGAGGTCGACCAGGCTCCCGACCGCGAGGCCTACAACATCGACGTCTCCGACTATAAGCCCTTCTGGGTCGAGAAGTGCGACAACAGCGACAACTCCGACACGTGGGTGGAGTTCGTCCGGATGAGGAAGCTCAAGAAGAAGAAGATACTGATCGCGGCAAACCACTACAACCGAGACGACAAGAAAGGGTTGGACTTCTTGAAGTTATCCAAGTTGGTGCCCAGCCCTCCCGAGCCCAAGAGCTTGGCCTACTTCTTCCGCTTCACGCCGGGCTTGGACAAGAACAAGATCGGGGACTTTCTTGGCGATCCCGACGAGTTCAACATCCAAGTGCTGAACGAATTCACCGGCACCTTCGACTTCACCGGCGTCATCCTCGACATCGCCCTCCGTAGCTACCTCGAGACCTTCCGATTGCCAGGGGAGTCGCAGAAGATTCAGAGGATCCTGGAGGCCTTCTCGGACAGGTTCTACGAGCAGCAGTCGTCGGAGATCTTCGCGAGCAAGGACGCCGTGTTCATCCTCTGCTACTCCTTGATCATGCTCAACACCGACCAGCACAATCCGCAGGTGAAGAAGAAGATGACGGAGGAGGAGTTCATCAGGAACAACAGAGCAATCAATGGAGGGATGGATCTCCCCAGAGACTACCTCTCCGAACTCTTCCATTCCATCTCCACCAACGCCATCACGCTCTTCGGCACCGCTGGCACGCCCACCGAGATGAGCTCCGCCCACTGGGACGACCTCATCAAGCGATCCCGAACGGTGGAGCCCTTCATCACGTGCGACTACAAGCATAAGCTGAGCCGAGAGGTCTTCGTGGCCATCTCAGGGCCTTCGGTGGCCACGCTGGCCGCCATATTCGAGCAAACGGACGACGAGGATATCCTCCACGAGAGCCTCGACGGGTTGATATCCGTGGCGAGGATCGCACGCTACGGACTGGAGGACATCCTCGACGAGCTCCTCTCCTGCTTCTGCAAGCTCACAAACCTTCTGAACCCTTATGCCACGGCAGAGGAGACGCTCCTCACGTTCAGCAACGAGCTGAAGCCAAGAATGGCGACGCTGGCCCTGTTCACCATCGCCAACAAGTTCGGGGAATCCATCCGTGGAGCGTGGAAGAACATGATCGATTGCTTGCTCAAGCTCAAGAGGCTGAAGCTGCTGCCGCAGTCAGTGATCGAACCTGACACCGCTCTGGCCGCCGACTCCAAGGCCCAGACGCACGCCAAGTCAGAGTCGGGCGTCATCTTTCCTGCATCCCATCGCGGGGCCGGGAGCAACCGGTCCGTCTCGGGGCTCATCGGGCGGTTCTCCCAGTTCTTGTCGCTGGACAACAGCAACGACTCCATGATCAGCTTCGGCAGCGAGTTGGAGAACAACCTCAAGATCATTCAGCAGTGCCAGATCGGGGACATATTTAGCAAGAGCTCGAAGCTGCCGGATGAGTCGCTTCAGAATATGGGGAGGGCGCTCATCTTTGCAGCGGCAGGGAAAGGCCAGAAGTTTAGCACCCCTGTGGAAGAGGAAGAGATCGTTGGCTTCTGCTGGGATCTCCTGGTCACCATCGCTTCGGTCAACCTTCACAGGTTCTCTGCATTCTGGCCTCAGTTCCACGAGAGCTTCGCGATCGTTTCCCAGTTCCCTCTCTTCTCGCCTTGCCCTTTCGCCGAGAAGGCCATCGTCGGGCTCTTCAAGATCGCCGTCAAGCTCACTGCGTCCCCGTCTCGCCTCGACAAGCTCCCGGAGGAGCTCATCTTCAAGTCCATCAACCTCATGTGGAAGCTCGACAAGGAGATCCTCGACACCTGCTGCGAGAGCATAGCTGAGTCGACGATGCAAATACTCAACGTGCACGGGAAGAACGTCCAGACCGTCTTCGGTTGGAAGACGCTCCTTCACCTCCTCACCGTCGCCGGCCGGCATCCCGAGACCTTCGATCAAGGGGTGGAAGCCCTGGTCAAGCTGATGAGCGAGGGCACCCACATCACCAGATACAATTACCCGTACTGCATCGAGGCTGCCTTCGGGTTCGCTGCGCTAAAGATCAGCCCTCTGGACAAGAGCTCCAGGATTCTGAGCCTGATGGCTGACACGGTGAATCTGTTGATCCAGTGGCACAAGTCGGGCTACTCCGACCCGGGGAGCACCAACAGCAGCTTATCGGAGGACGGCCAGAAGGCCGGTGGTAGCGCCGGCAACCTCGGAGCAAACCTGTTCATGAAGCTCGTGGAGGCGCTGAGGAAGACGAGCCTGGTCCGGCGCGAGGAGATCCGGAACCAAGCGGTGGCGGAGCTGAGGAAATGCTTTGCGGCGGCGGAGGAGCTGGACTTCTCGCCGGCGAACTGCCTCGCGTGCTTCAACCTCGTCATCTTCGCGATGGTGGACGACCTGCACGAGAAGATGCTGGAGTACTCGCGGAGGGAGAACTCGGAGAGGGAGATGAGGAGCATGGAGGGGACGCTGAAGGTGGCCATGGAGATGCTGGTGGAAGTGTACCTGGAGTTCTTGATACCATTGTCGCAGAGCACAGGGTTCAGGTCCTTTTGGCTCGGGATGCTGAGGAGGATGGACACCTGCATGAAGGCCGACCTGGGGGATCACGTCGGGGTGCTGCAGGAGCTGGTTCCGGTCCTGCTGAAGAAGATGATAGTGGAGATGAAGGAGAAGGAGGTGTTGGTGCAGGAAGACGGGAATGAGCTGTGGGATATAACTAATATCCAGATACAGTGGATCGCTCCTTCGGTGAAGGATGAACTGTTCCCCGAGGAATAGGGGGTGTTGTTCTGCAGAGAATAGGAGGAGCTGATGATAGGGAGGTGTTTCCTTCTCATATTGTTTTTATTTTTATTTTTTTGCTTTTTCTCTCTCTAGAGGAAGAAATTGACATCCCAATGATTGTTACTATCGAACTTGCTCGTCATATTGTTTATAACAACCTAATGCATGCCATACGAATGATGGGTTGAAACTGCAAGCTTGAAGTGAGCCGCCGTAGGACTCGTCGTTGTCCAATGATGAGGCGGATAGGAAATCGGAACGCCGCCGCCGGGGAGTAGATGTCTTTTTGTGATTTGATTGTGATATCGCGGCACAGCCGTTGAATCTCGGAGGGAGGGAGGGGTTATATTCCACGTTTCCACAATTGTCGCGATAGATTTCAATTACAGGATCACCGTCGATTTGTTAAAAGGTAAGGAAGGGTTCAACATCTCTTCTCATAATCTTATACTTCAAATATTAATATGAACAAACTTACTCACCGAATGTTGATGGTTTGACGTCTCATCGAAACATTAATATTGACAGGAGGAATATTGGTACAATTTCAGTTATGCAGCCGTTAAAAGAACTTCAGGTCATGTTAGCTATATTTATGTTGAAAGCGGTACTTCAAGACATGTTGGATATATTGATATGGTACAAAGCTGTTCGAGCTATGTTGGACGTGCTATCATCGTAAAAAGTGATTTGAATCGTGTTAATCACATTAATGCTATAGAAAGTGTTTTGGGTCATGTCGATCGTGTTATCATCATAGTAAGTGTTTTGGGCTGTGTTGGTCATGCTGACGTCGTAGAGAGCATTTTCGGTCATGTCGACAGCGTTGACATCGTAGAAAGTGCTTCGAGCTATGTCTGTCGTGCTGATGTTCTAGAGAGCGAATTAGGCCATGCTGATGTCATAGAAAGCACTTCAGGTCGTGTCAACCACAGTGATTTCATGGAGTGCACTTCAGGCTATGTCGATCACGTTGTTGTCATAGCGAGCACTTCAAGCCATCTCAACTACAGTATCATCATATGGAGCAGTTTGAGCCATTTCGATTATGTTGTCATTATCGAGAGAAGCCATTTCAGTTGTCTTCTCATCATAGAGAGTGCTTCGGGCTGTGTCGGTCGCATTGTCATTGTAAATAACACTATGGGTTGTATCGATAGTGTTGCTATCGTAGAGAGTGTTTCGAGCCATATTGATTATGTTATCTTTGTAGAGAATGCTTTGGACATTATTGATTGTATTGTCATCAAAGAGAGCATGTTGGGCCATGTCGATCACAATCTCATTGCAAAGAGCATGTCAAGTTGTGTCAGCCATGTTGTCTACGTAGAGAAAGTTTCGAGTTGTGTTAGTCATATTAATTTCATAAAAAGCACTTTGGGCCACATCGGTCATGCTGTCATGGTAGAAAGTACATCGGGTCATGTCAATCACGTTGTCATAATATAAAGCACTTCAAGCTATGTCTATCGTTGTAGAAAGCACTTTGAGCCATGTCACCTGCATTGTCATTGTAGGGAGCGCTTCGAGTCATCCCAATCACACTATCGTCAAAGGGAGCGTTTCGGGTCATTTAAATCATTGTGTTATCATATTGAGTGTTTCAGGTCATCTTAGCCGTGATGTTATTGTATGGACCACTAAAGGTCATTTTGGCTATGGTTCGATTTGTATTGGGCACACTATAGGTTGAGGGCGGAGCACCCTCGCTTGAGCATCCATTGAATGGATCGACTAAATGATATTCTTATGACATTAGCCCTCCTTCTAGTACCAAAATGATATGATAAATGTCTGTGATGACTAAATCAGCTTGACTCAGTTTGGATCCACATATGCAAGAAGTCTAATGTGGCTAAAAGGGAGGCTTGGACGCTCGCTTGGGTTTTGATGTTGACTCAGATGCATGCTCCACGATCGACCTACACAAAGACCAAGGTTGGGTGGGGTTTCCGACATAATCCCTCTAATACTCAAGCCAGTAGTTGATAAAACTAAAGTAATTTTAATGAACAATCATTGACCTCGATTATCATGACTTATTTTTTATAACGGGTTTAACTTGGGGGAATATTCCTATAACATTTTTCCCTTATCCTTCTCGTGCTAATTGGGCTACCATGTGTTGAGCCCTTATTGGAGGTTACACTGATTGTGCTGTCATGCTATCTTCATAAAGAGTATTTTAAGCCATGTTGGTCATAGTATCAACATAGAGAGCATGTCGGGCTGTGTCAACCATGTTATCTTTGTAGAGAATGTTTCGGGTCATGTTGATCATATTATTTTCATCAAAAACATTTCAGGTCATGTCAGTTATATTATTATCATAGAAAACACATTGGGTCATGTAAATCATGTTGTCATCATAGAAAGCACTTCGGGTCATGTTAGTTTATTATCATCATAGAAAGCGCTTGGGTCGTGTCGGCCCAATGTCACCATGGAAAAGCACTTTGGGCTATGTAGAATATGATGTTATCATAGAAAGTACTTCAAGAACCCCACTCTACCTTCGTCTTTGTATAGATTGACTATTGAGCATGCATTCAAACTCACATTAACCCTTGAGCGAGTGTCCAAACCTCTCTTTTGGTTACATTAGACTTTTTACGCACATGAGCCCAAATTGAGTCAGGTTGATTCAGACATTACCAACATTCACCATATCAGATATGGTGATAGTACACTAGACACATCTACTAAAGACTAAAGATTTGAAACATTATCTAATAAATTTTATTGCCTAAAATATTGATATTATTACTTCTGATTTTGGATATCTCATATATACGTCTAGGGTTCAAATCCAACTTAAGTCATACCACTAAGCTTGCTAAAAGTCTCATAAGTAGGAGATTCGGCTTGTGACCTTCCTAAAACTATAACAAGATGTACCCAAATCCTTAAGTTAGTAGAGATCGTATGCTTTTTTCATACCCACTATAGGATAAACTTGGGGCTAGGAGATTTGGGTAATTGCTGAAATTGAAGTGGACAATTAATTCGAGAGTTTGTTATGTGAAATCTTAAGTCATCATTCAACAGTGAAGACATGTTGAACTATCAGGTGTTACAATTAACACGATGGCTCATGTTGATGTGGTGTCTTGTCAAGATAAATAGGCATCCATCGGGCTCATGGGTTGATGTGTTTAAGTTGCCATCGTGTTACTTCCACTTATCATCTGCTCCCGTATTGTGTGTGATGCTTGGTGAGCAACTTAACCATGTTATCTTTCGATCATTGCCAAAAGATGTTTCATTGTCGGATTCAATCATATCATCTTCGTATGATATTTCATGATTAAATTCCTTGCATCATTATCGAGAGACACTTATAGTTTGCTCTGATCATGTCAAGATGCTTCATTGTCATATTAAATTTTATTATTATTGAATATTATTTCATGACTAATTCAATCATATCATTGTAATTCAATGCATTATGATTGGATTTAACCACATCATCATTAAGAGACACTTCATGGCCAGATTCAAATGCAATATCGTTATATACTGCTTTATGATCGGATTCAGTTACATCATCATCGAGAGATACTTTATTGTTATATTCAACTGCTTTATCGTCGTTTAATGATTCATGACCAAATTTAATCATATCATTGACAAGAAATACTTAATAGTCAGATTCTATCATATTATCATTGTATGAAGCTCTATTATTAAATTCAATCACATCACCGATGGGAGACACTTTATTATCATATTCAATAACATCATCATCATACGATGATTTATGATTGAATTCAATTATATCATTGTCAAGGAACACTTGATAGCTATATTTGGTTGTATCATCCTCATATATTATTTTATGATTAGATTCAACTGCATCACCATTGATAGATAATTCGATTTATTTTATATTATCATCATAAAATACTTTATTATCAAATTTGATTGTAAGCGATGGATGTTTCATAGTACAACATCGTCATGATTAGATTTAGCTGCATTATTATTATTATGTGAGGAAGCTTCGAAAGACGTCCTTTCTCGTTACGTAGGTCACATCTGTAACCGGTCAATGCCACATTGAATACCGACTTGGTTAGTGGACACAACTGTTTAAATTCACTCGTGCAAATTGTCATGTGTTGTTTTAGTTCTTTGTAGTTGTAATCATAACTTATAAACATATATTTAGTCTTGCATTAATCAAGGAATAAAAAAATCAACGCCTTATAAATGCTAAAGTTATCTTTACCATCAAAATGGTATTCTCGAAAAATAAAATCACACGAGCTCATCCAAAATGGATAATTTCTCGTCATCATCAATGACAAATGATAATTTATTATATAGAGCACCAAATATGAGCCTAAGTTGCCTTAGCTCTCTTACCAAAAATATTGATATCTCATGTTAAGAAATAATAGTATATAATGATGATGATGATAAAAGTGTTGATAATAGGAGATGAAGCAAGGAAAGCATATGGAAGATAAGAGCTGAACAAAAAGCATGCACGATATGTGGTCTACACTTCATATTTCAAAATCAGGTCGGGTTCCAATTCGATCGAGTTTAATTGTCGGGCTCGGGCCGGATTTGGATCAGGTTGGTTTGAGGGCTTTTAGTTCATAACTATTATGTCTACAAACAAGCAAGAGCTGCTTACTTGTCCTGTTCAAGATTGGACTATAAGACTTCCTGTAGATTGTGTTTCACCTCCTTTAATGCCACCATCAATTTCTCTTAGCTTCTTGAAAAGACCATTTGTTAACCTCTACAAAGAAGCATTCACTTCATGGCTGCTGTCACTGTGATATCAAACATTGGTGAATCATAGAGGTTATTGGATCACAAACCTGTAGAGGGAATAACAATTTTAATGCAAGTGTAGATACAGTACTCAAAAGATCATCTTAAACCATGGTGGATTTGAGATTCCATGTCTTGAGTCCTGTGAAGGACAACCAATATCCTACAAGGAGATGAAAGGAACATCGCAACTAAGCATTACCACTGAAATAATATATATCCATCTCTCTCTCTCTCTTCATCGACTCTTTATTTTCTGATACATCCATCTGTTTGTCACTCTTCTCGTGGCCTTTGTTACGTGGGGAGGAACCATGTCTCTGCAAAATGATGTATCATCCTGTCTGTAAATTGATTTCTGATGCATGCATGGAGCACCATACTGAGGTGAAGAGCGGTGGAGATCCAGCTGATGATGCCAACCCCAGAGACTCGTGTCATCGGTGGGTGGCACATCACCATCACCGAATGGTCCACCGAAGAATCTATCACCTGTGCGAATGTCATGCAAGTGCCAAACTCGAGCAGGTCATGCATGAGCTGGAAGATGATCCTGCACGAAAACTCAACCCTTCCCTACCGCCGCGCGGTTGCTCTCGGTCGGTCCAGAGACGCGCGTCTGCTGCTGCTGCTCTTGACGTGGGTCTCGATGCCATGTTCCTCTCATCATTCGAGAGAACATCCAGCTCGAGCAGCGTACGACCGACGTCGCGACATGGCAAGACCTGCAAGAACTCAAGTTCCAAAGGAAGTGCGTGCTCGATGTGATCTGCATGCGTCCGCGTCAATCCCATTCGACCACGGTTTTAGCATCCCCAGCAAGTTCCATTCATCGATGATGGCGGAGCAAAACATACTGACCATGGCATTTCGTGTCTACAGTCTTCAAACAAGCGGTGCGTGCTGTTCCTCTTCCTCCCTCTCGTTATTGCCCGACAAGAGGTATGATGTACCAGTAACCCGCCATGGTTATTTGATGAAGGTGTACGGGGTGACGCTGTTACGACCGCGGCTACAGTTTATGCACGAGATTGGACGTCCCATCGCAGTGAGAAAGAGAGCCAAAAACAGATCAAGGAGTAGAGAATTAAGGAACCGAGAAATACTTGTTCAAATTATGATCACAGATTATTATTACTACGATAGACATATCATTCAAATTCATGCTATTACTTACTGTACACGCGGCGGGCACCGACATACGACACTGTTTGATGGATAGCACCAAATCATCGGTTGTCACCTGCAGTACCATCAACCTTCGGCGTCGCAATGAATTGGGACTGCGGAGGGTAATGGCATTTAGGGAGATCATTTAAGGCGATCCAAGTAACAAGGACGGGCCAGCTGCAACACGCAATTATGCATCTACGGATCTCCATAAATCCCGACGAAGCGCAGCATCCTGAGACGCCACAAGCGATCAAGGAGTGTCCAATCATGCTTTCTATCAATCAATCAGCTGTCGATGGCCGTTCGGTAGGCCATCGGCATCATACATCAGTGCGCCAAGAACAGTTGCAGCGCGGTGCAGCATCACAGTGACATTTCTAATCTTGCCTGCAGGATCTGGGAGAAGAACAAATGGCACACAGGGCAAGGACGTAAAGAATCGGAAGAGGTTTTGTTTTTCCTGCAGAGGTAGGGTGGAGGAGAGAGGAGGGGGGGGGGGGGGGAATTAAATGCACCAAGGAGCCGCACGCAGAGTAGCAGCTGGCGTGCAATGATGGCAGGAGGGTGAAAGGTCGAAGGCAGCGCGCGTTATTGCGGGCGGAAGAATGAATCGATGGAAGAAGAGACTCCTGACAGGGAGACGAGGAGGAGAAGCGAAGCCTCCTCGTTAATAGGATTATTAATGACTCTGGAGAATGGACGCCTTCCAAAGCTCATACTCATTCTAAACTGTATGTATACATTGATTGACGTTGGCGGATAGCTACAACGTCATGAGATTCCTACATATACAAGGAGAATTCTCAGGCCGTCGTAGCAGGCAGAAATGCTTGGTATATAACATATAAAGAAGGGGAGGAGGAAGAGAACAAAAAGTTCCTACAAACCCCACACCAATCAACTCTCTCGTGCTCGGTGGGGATATGTTATTAGTCCTTCCCCTTCATTACCTTCTTCTTGTTCTTGTGCCGGTCTGACCCGGTCAATGCAAACGTTACCTCGACTCAGAAACGGCTTTCCTGCCGGAGTCGTCCACGCGTTCTAACAGAGGAAGGATCTGAAAGAGAGGAGGAAGAGGACTTATCGCCGACAAGGAGTGGGATTCGGTTTGGCTCCGGTTGGGTCCATTTAGATCCGCCTCAACACATGATGCCAAGGCTGGGCTGGTGGTGCCGTGGGGGAGGGGGGGACTGCCACATCCTTATCCTTTAAATTCCTCCTCTTTGTTGCCTATGGGGCAATTAATTATTGTATTACCTTCACAAATCCATTTTTCTTCTTGCTAAATCTAACTCGGAGGTTTTTAATTATTCGCACAAAACTTTCTCTATTTACATAGTTTTATTATATAATATAATAATATATTTAAAAAAGTAAATAGTAAATTATTCCTAGGAACCATGCTAAATTAGCATAATTGGTCAAACCATGGTGGTTTGACCAGGTACAATCATGTCCTATGGACAGGCCATATCATCATGCACACGTGTACGGTCAACGGTGGCCGAGGGATAACCATGCGGTTTAGCAAACTATTTAATAATATAAATAATTAAATAAATAAATGAATATGAACTATTATTATTCATTTTTCATTAATGTTCGTCAATTTATTTATGTATGAGGATGGGGGGAAAAGTGAAGGGAGCAAAAGAGGACAAAGGCTACGCGTACGAGTAGGGGCGGGCGGAAGGGAGTGGGGTCGGCTTCCTTATGTCACGTCGCTATGACTCCTTTTACTTGGACCGCTTAAAAAAAAAAGAAAATAAAAATTAAGGTTAATTTTCGCTGCTGGATCCCAACGTCAAATCACATCACCCTCCTCCATCGCCCCTGCAAACTTTTGCTGTGGCCGTTGGATGGCTTTTCACGGCCAGAATGCTGAGGCAGGCAGGTTGTATATATAGACAGGGTGAGATGCGAGAGGAGGCGGTGCACCACAGAGCATGTGTGTGTTTGATGGGAGGTTACCGAGGAAGGAAGGAGAAGGGAGTGAACATGTTGAAGGAGAAGCTGAGAAGCTCTCAGTAGCAGTCGTGGTGGTGGTGGTGGTGGTGGCGGTGCCTTGAAGCTCTTTCTCGGTGCTCAGTGACTCTGTTTTCTGGACTGCAGCGGAAATGAACAAAAGCGAAGAATTCAAGCTCCTCAAAATCCAGGTACCATCTCTCTCTCTATCTCTCTCTCTCTCTCTCGTGATTGCTATAGGAAGGGGGAAGATGAGAAGCCAGCTGAGTGTTACCTTTGGCTGGTTGTTGTTGCAGACGGTGATCCTCAAAGTGCACATACATTGTGACGGATGCAAGCAGCAGGTGAAGAAGCTTCTTCAGAGAATTGAAGGTGACTTCTTCTTGTGTGTTGTGATTTCCGTTTGCTTTACTCCTGCTAGAAGAAACAACGTAGGGTGATGGTGGAGCTCGTGTTTCCTCTTTAAATCTGACAAGAACAGGGCAGCGATGGGGTGTCCTCCATGTTGATGAAATTGCATCAAATGCTGCAAGAAAAAGACGTGCTTTGTTCGTGCTGGTAGTTGACACATAAACTTGCTGTAATTTAGCGTGAAGAATACCCTGCTAAGAGTTGGTGATCTACAGATGCATATGCTATTCCCTTGAGACTTCTCTTTTGTATTTTTTTCACGACTGGTTTTTTCCAGTGGCATTTACAGTGATCTGAGAACAAAGAAGATGTGTTGTCATGTCTTGGTTGTCTCTCCAGGCCATGAGGACTCTCTCTTTGATCTGTTCCATCTGAATCATTTCACTCTATTTGCCTCTTGAACCAGGGGTTTACACTGTCAGCATAGATGCAGAGCATCAGAAGGTCACGGTCTCAGGGGATGTGGACTCCAATACCCTGATCAAGAAGCTGGCAAGATCAGGGAAGCACGCGGAGGTGTGGCCTCAGAAGACCAACAACCAAAGCAGCAAGCCCAACCAGCAACAACAACAAGGAGGGAAAGATGGGAACAAGAACAACAAAGGCCAAGGCCAGGGTGGCCAAGCCAACCAAGCCCTCATACAAGGTCTTAGAGAATTCAAGAACCAGCACAACCGCATGGAGCCCTTGAGTTCGGATGACGAAGAATTCGATGATGATTTTGATGAGGAAGAAGATGATGAGCTTGGGTTTCTTGGTGAAAAGATGAAGCAACTTAACATATCAAAACAGGCAAACAATGCGGTGACCGCAGCAACAGCAGCTGGTGCCAAGAAAAATGGCGGCAACAACAACATCGGAGGAGGGAAGAAGGTCGGAGGAAATCCTAATCAAGCCATTGGCTTGAAAGGTCCAAATGGGTCAGAACCCAAAGGCTCGTATACTGCATCTGACAACAAGATGGTCAATGGTGCTCCCTTGTGTGGTGGTAATCAAAGTGCAGTTGCAGGCCCCCCACCACCAGGACTCGGTGGGAGTCATGGCTTGGGATTACATCAAGCTCAGCAACAGCCAGGGGCTACCTTCCCTGCAGGTTTCCCCGCAAATGGTAATGGTGGGTTTGGGGTGAGCCACCAGCAATCACCTCTGATGATGAACCTACAGGGACAGGGGTATCAGAACCAGACCCCATCCACGATGATGAACTTGAGGGGGATCAACCACAGCAGCAGCAACAACATGCTGATGAATGAGAGCAGGTACATGCAGCCCCAAGTGATGTACAATAGGTCACCTCAAATCCCTCCCTACACTGCCTACTACTATCCCTGCCCCTACTACCAGAGTCCCTATGTGAGCCACCACCACTCGGACACTGGTCTCAGCGATGAGAACACAAGTAGCTGCGTGGTAATGTAAGAGACTACTATTGTGTCTTAGAATCAGTAGGGGTGTGAGGGAATGTGATCGAAGTCTGCAGCATTTCCTGTGCATTTGGCTTTTTCTGTTGGTAGAGTTTGGTCTGAATGGCTTAAATGTTAGGGGGGTGTTTGATACTCATGGCAGCCCCAGAATATTTACTTCATGCAGTTATTGATGCAATGCCATCCTGTCCTGTCTCCTGTCTCTGTATTAATGCTGACTACTATGTTTAATTTATGGGGTCTGGAGTTTTGTGCTTGTGGGAGTCGAGGAACTGTGTCATGCCCATTCGACATGCATTTTGAATTGATTGTTCACTGGAAGAGGGGAGTCAAACTTGGGTTTACTCCCAGGCTTTGTCCCATGCCTTTTAGTACAAGGGATATGATGACAGGTGGGAGGTGGGGATTTCAACAGCTCATGTGACTGTGTTGTTAGCTAAGAACATGATTAGTATTAGTGGATAAGCTAGTGAACCATGAATTGAAGTATTAGATAGAGGAAGAGAGAAGGAATGTGCATACCTGGATTGTTACAGTTGATCTTTTGTATGGCATTGCATCAGCTAACAAGCATATCAGATACTGGCTTTGCTAATTTCTTGACTCCACAGTCTCTCTATTCTCATCAAGGAAAAGCTGACTTCCTAAACCAAGGATGACAGCCAAAAAAGTGAAGACTGTAAGCATATTTGTACTGATCATAATCTCTCACAAGCAAGACAATCATCTAAGGGAAACCAGAAAAAAAAAAATGTCAGTGGATGAGAATAAACTAACTTTTGTCTTTTGTTTTACTGGCAGAATAATGCAGTCAGCAGTTACCTCTGAAGATGTTTTCTCCTCTCAACTGAAGTTGAGAGATTCTCCACACCACAACTTCTTCTGTAGTGTTGTGCTAAAAGAAGGATTAGAGTAACTTATCACTGATCACCAAAACCAAACTCTTCATTCTGCTTCTCAGACAGCTTTCTGGAATGTGTTAGCAAAGCATGCTCATGATGCGTCGGTGGCATTATTATGACAGGGCAGATGCATACAAGCTTTTCTGTAAAAAGATGCAGCTCCATAAAGCTAAGTCTACGACAAACACAAGAAAGTGTTTAGGTGAAAGTAGTTCTGTGGGATAAAAGCATGACATAACCCACTGAAGAAAGAGGAGTAATGGAAATGTACTTTTGCATAAAGATGATGAATGCTTCGGCTTTCCTCAGTCAACAAGTTTCACAGACAAAGAAAGGTTGCCTAGCATCAACCCTTTTGAGAAAAGCCACCCCGAGGAAGACATACAAAGACTAAACACCAGCAACCATGTGACTCTCACAATTTGCACTTGCTGATGGGAAAGGCAACCGAGAAGACTAGGAAGAGATGACAGAGACATGGAGACCAGAACAAGGAGCAGGCCATCTAAAGGCAGTAAGCTTACCGATAAAAGCTACAAGTCCAAAGCACTACCAACCACAAACACTCTTTGCTTGCTTCACAGCTTTTGGTACAAGTGACTATGATGCAAAGTGTTAACAACTTAGGATCCTTTTGGTGTTGCATTTTTTTTTATTCTTCTTCTTCTTCTTCTTCATCATCATCATCATGTATTCCGGTGATTATGTTCAGTGAGAAACAAGGAGATCAGAGAAAGTCTGCAGCAGCAACAAAAACAAGTCCAGAAACCTTAGAACAATGCAAAAAATATTAGCATGAAACAAGTCATGAACATACAGTACTATGTTAATCATTCTTAAACTAGGGTAGCAGAAACAGAAACGAAGCCAGAAGAGCCATCGGCTGTGGTCTCAAAGGTCTTGGAACAGAAACACATTTGAAGCAGCAGTGGAGTTGGTGTGTCCGCAACCTTTTTGACTTGCGTGCACTCTGCACCATGGAGCATGGTACCTGGAGCACGCGGGCTGCTCTGGGGAGGCCCTCTTCACTTCTGCCGTACACACCATGTAAAGGTAGAAACTGCGACAGCAGCATGTGCTAAGGATATAATAATATTACATGGTGTTGGTGTTTCATTAGGTTGATTTGAAGGCTCTCACCAGTCCACGAAGAGAACAGTGACAATGCAATTGTTCTCTTGGGATGAGCCACCAAGTCAACAGTTGGTCAGATGCAGGTCAGGAAGACTTCACACTCTGTGAGAACCTCCTTAACAAATTGTTTCAACATATCAAGACAAGAGTAGGGAAATGATACAACTTTGCAGTGCTCCAGCTGACCGCATGTGTGCTTCGCAGTCCTCCACAACATGAGAATGATATGCATCAAACAACAATCAGCGACAAGAGAACTAAAGAACACTTTTTTCATTTTGAAATGGCCATGGAAAAGATATGGCATGTCTGATCATCCAAATTGTGTAGCCCTTCCTGTAAGAAGGAGATGGAAATTAGCGTTTTGGTATTAAAAGTCTTGTCTTGGTATTAAACATTTGTATTATCTATCAAATATGTCCTTAGGACTGAAAACAAAGATGTAACACATAGTTGTTTTATCAGCCACAAAAAACAGTAATAAAGATACTAACCACCTATTCTTTGAATGCCATCAATCTTTGAAGTTTGAAGAGTATTAGGATACATCACTTGAAGTTTATGTGGCTGGATGGGAGGATACTGGTCATCTGCAGGAAATCAGACATGGCTGGCCCATTACACATTGTCATTTGGAAAGAAAGAATCACTGATAGAGTGAAGTGGCTTCCACCAGTCAGAACTGAAAGTCTGCAACATTTATGGATCCATTCTGGTGCTCGAGAGATCATCAACTACATCAATGACAACTGTTCTACCCCTTGAAATCTGCAGTACATTTTTGAGACATTTCTTCCTTGAAAACTACTTGTCACTTGAAATTTAGTTACATCCAAAGGGACTGTAGGCAGCAATTATCAGGTGGAATCCAGAACTTCTTCCTCATCTACTTGGTGGCTTGATGGTCTTTCTACCCAGTGGGGGTGGTCTAAAAGTTGGGGCATATTACTGTGGATGAACATATTCCTGATGTTAATTGACTGCTCTATCACACTGCAATCAACAAATCCTTGGATCATCAGTGTTGGAACATTCTACTTCATATACACAAATATATAAGTGATAAGGCCTTCATTATTAGAGATTATGGTGATTGTAAGAATCTTCAGTCTTCTCAACTTTTTCATATATCTTTATTGTCTCAAGTCATCAGTTGACCAAAAATTGGCATATGTTGTCAATCAACTATACACACAAGCACATAGGAACAACTCCATTAATCACCAAACTCCAACTGGATGCAGAAAAAGATGAGTTGTTCTCCACCCACTGGTAAACCATTTCGCCTGCCTCCCCACATCTCCCCCAGACAAACCCCCATTGCCTCCCTCATGGGTGAGTCTCTTTTGCAGAGGCCAAGTTGCTTAAGATCCAAAATCAATCCTCCCTACGCCTGAAATTGGATCATACTAAGGTGAGTTGGGCTCGAAATGATTGGCAACCGAACTTATATGGTCAGTTTTTAAGTAAGAGTCCTCTGTTGGATTTCCTCCGCTCCATCCTCCCCAAACTGTGGGGACTTCAGTTGCAACATTATCGATTTAGCAGTTGGGTGGTTCGAAGACCAACCCCATCACATAACCTCAAAGCCTTCCCTATTCATTAACAACAATACTGCCCAATCCACCCAAATATCTCCTTCCATGGGATAGCATCATTTAATGGTTTAGTGACCATTTGATATCATCTCTTGTTCCCACTGTTAAAGGATATAGTAGTACCAATGTCTCTTTTACGGGTTCGAAGCCATGGGGCCAGATCTGGGTGACACCAAGGTGTTGCTAACTAGCCCTAAAGCCTCATCCCCATCAAAATTGATGACACCTTCCCTCTTCCCCTTAATGCCAGGGAGAGAAAGAAAGAAAGGATCAGAACTGGAAGGCAGTTCTCTTCCCTTGGAGGCAAGCTTCGACCTCAAGGATGGGTGATACAAGGAACACACAGAACCCTTAAGTTAGATGCTTGAAATACACTTGCAGGAACAATAATCTATTGCTTTTCTAAACAAGTTGGGAAGATGATGATGGATCAGGGTATTCTCTGTTGGTGAGAACAGATCTGACGGGATCATTGTAGCATAGAACCCTCTCTCCCTCAAAGTATCTGAGGTCTTCACCATCGGACAAGCAATAAATTTAATCTTGGAGATTAAAAGGTACAGTAATCAAAGACATTTAATGAGCTCATCAGTCATCACCAAAAACCTCCTATTACCATGCACACCAAAGTAAGCTTATTGTCTCAGAAATCAACACAAATGGTTATATTACCATGACCATCATCATATATATTTCTGCAATTTCGTCCCACAAAAGTAAACACAGATCTCATATCTCAACTACAGGTCAAACAGAGTGAAGAAAGGAGACTGATCTGAGCTTCGGGTGAACAAATGATCCAGACAGAAAAATAATATTACAAGCCTGCAGAAAACCAATCTATTACCATCTTTACAAGGACACCATGGTAGAAGCATTTACCTGTTCCACATATGAATTAATTCTCTCTCTAGCATTTTTCCAAACAATCTTTGAGATCAATCTCATACAAGAGTTTTCGCGTGTCACCATAATCTTTCTTATGGTGTCCCTAAATCCAAATTAATGCAAGTCCCTAGGACTAAATACTACAACTAACTGCATTATCTGATGCATTGGACTAATGATAGAATCATGTTTGGACTAATAATTTGTTTTTACAAGGGTTTATATGGAACCCATAAGTCTGATGTCTCTAAATGATGATGAATTGGCTGAAACCATGAACCTGAATCGAGTCAGAATGAAAGATTGCAACAAGATGATCAACTTTATGTGGTCGGGCCTGAGAGTTTGACCTTCTGCTCTAACCAATAAGCCTCAGGATTGAACCCAATTCTTAACCTATAGCATGTAAAAGTCCAATTCTTTCAGACCGAGTCTTATTATGTCACTGTTGCCCATGTGAAAAGTATTCTGCTGATATGGTGGTCACTTGTTGACTAGAACAGCTGCAAATGTAAAAAGGTAGGGGCCGCCTACATTAAAGAATTAATATGCCTGGTGGAAACTGACAAAAATTAGGTTTCAGCACCAACTTGGACTGTACAACCTCTGAGCTAAGAAGATACCTCAATTGTACTGTTTAATCTCCAAGATATCTTTCATGTTATCCACCACTTGAAGCAACTTAGCCCAAAGCAGGACACAGAATGATACATAATCTATGCCTAAATAGACAAAATAACACAAAGGGTGAACACCGGTAACTTCAAATAAGTGCATGACAGCTTAACATATTCCAGCATATCAAGACTCGTGGAGGGTGCAGTACAACTAATTCAGTAGGTCCATCACATGATATAACATACTTTTTGACTTCCTCTCTCACTGTGCAACGCAACCACCTCCTCCCAACAAATCAAAACAAAATAAAATCATCTCACGTACTACTTACTATATATCTCCCAATTAATATAATTTTTCCGCCCTTTTAAGGCTGCAAAAATAGGACAAGCGACCAAAACCTCCACAGTATGTATCTTACTCACCAAAAAGGCATGAAAAGATGATGTTTAATATTATTTCTATGCTCGTTTAAGCTGCAAAAATGGGGCTTAGATCTCGATGAAGGAGAAATCTCTACCGTCCAATGGCTGATCCCAGAGCAAGAGATCATCCAAGCCGAAGTCGTCGCCGACCTCGCCCACGAAGAACGGCGCATCCCCGTCGAGGCCGACGAAGTCCACCTCCGCTGGTACCTCTGCGAAGAGTTCTGCGATGGACCTCTCCTCCTCCTCCGCCTCCTGCGCCGCCGGCGGGGCGAGAAGAGAGGAAGAAGACGGGGCGGAGGCCCAGGAGGAAGCGGAGTCCTCTGCGGCGGAGGCAGGAGCGGGAGCGGGAGCGGGGCGCCGGAGGCAGCGCTTCTCCTCCTCGAGCCGGGACGCGGCCGCACGGTACGCGGCGGCCGCCTCCTCCGCGGTGGCGAAGGTGCCGAGCCAGAGGCGGGCGCCGCGGATGGGGTCCCGGATCTCGGCCGCCCACTTCCCCCATCGCCGCTGCCGGACGCCCTTGTATCTGCCAGCCGCGGCGGGCGATGGCGCGGCCAGTCTCGTCACCGCCTCCTTCTTCTTCCTCTCCGGATCCGCCAGGGTTTTAAGGGTTTTACCGATCGGGTCCACGTGGATCTCGCAGACCACTCGCTTGCTCTTGTCGATCAAAGCCTCGTCGCCGTCGTCACTGTCGGTGGCGTCGGGATCGGTGAAGAAGACCCTGATCCTCTTCACCGGACTCGATCCGACCGCCTTCGATCCATCCAACTTCCCGCTGCTCCTCCTCTTCATCATCATCGGTGGTTTCAAATCTCTAATCGAGCCCAAACAATCTAGTTTCTTCATCTTCCTCTTCCTTCGCATCCTGTATCGGCTCCAGAGCTGTTGAGTCCGCGGCCCGATCATCTGAGATCTCTCTCGAACTCCAAAAATTCCGGGAAAAATTGCAGAGAAAACAACAAAAATACGAAAAGAAAGGCCAAAAACAGATCCTCGTATCCGTCGAGTGAGGGTTCCTCCTCTAATTAGGAGCAAGAAACTGAAGAAGTACCGTTCGATGTGGAGAAACCCAATCGACTTCACTCCAAAACCACCTCTGCAACACGAACAATTCGATCAATATAGCAAACAAGCGCATCGAATTGATCTTCTTCCGTGTCATGAACTCGAGAGCAGAGGCACAGAAGGGACGGATGTCGTGGGCAGCGCTTGTAGACATAAATCTCTCCTTTCCCTTTGGTTTGGGAGCGAGCGAGCGAGCGAGGGAGCTGAGATGTAGAGGCGTTTATAGTGCGACAGCAGTAGCAGCGGTTAGTAGTGGGAGAGTGAAGGGGATGAGATGGATTACAATTCTATGGTTCTGATTCATCTTGATTTTTTTTCTTTTTATTATTTCCGTTAACAAATAATATCGATATGATATATTAAATAAGGAGCGTCCATCTGAATCCTCCACTAATATTGATGCAATATTGGATGAAATTAAATAAGTAATATCTTGAAAAATATGACAAGATTTATCGTTGGAAAGGGAGAGAATAAAACGAATTGATTCTTTAATAAAATATCATTAATATCTTGATCATATCAGTCGAGATGAAAATATTAAGCTCATGAGGTGTTATCGATACGTAGATCGAGGTCAAGGTCAAAAAAAATTCTCTAATTCGATCTCGTTGATATCTAAATTAATAATTTAATTTTTAATATAATTTTTTTTTTCCATTTTTTTCACGGATCAAGATAAAAGAGGTAGACCTATAATCTTGATAGTCTTTACCTTCTTCTTCTTATCTAGATGTTATGTGTCGAATAATAATTGATCAATATTGTTATGTGAATATCAAATTATTATAATAAAAATACTAAACATAAGGAAATGACACTGTCAAGATTTCTTCATTCATTTTTTTTTTCATATTTAATCGATGAATTGACATCAATGTTATCGTTCGTCGGCTTTGTGAAAAGCTCCGTGTCGAAGTTGTCGGAGAGGCATGAGTCATCCTCCACACCAACCCAACTTATTCCACCTTCTCACATTAGGCACGGGTCCCAGCAATCTTTAGGAGCACTGTCTATCAATGTTTATATCCCTACACCTTTTCGAAACCCAAGTTTTACGAATTAGGATTCAACACGTTTTGATGGTGTTAGTGTTTGATGTCGGTGACATATTTAGAGTGAAGGTTCTAATTATCCCTAACCACAAGTTAGATTTGATGCAGTCCATTTGACATTGTATGTATTTTTGATCGGTATTGTATTCATTTTTGATGCAGCCCTTTTGACATTTAAATTAGATTTTTGCGATATAGTTGGAAAAGAGAAGGATGAAACCTCCATAATTATGTTTGATTATCCCTAACAGCAAGCAAGGTTAAAAAAAATTATACATAATAAAAAAATATTTAAAGATATTTTCTATCCGACTTTATTAAACATAGAAAAATATTTTCCATATCATATGGTACAAATTCATCAAAATCATTGAAAAAATATTTTGAACTTTGGGTCATATAACCATAAATAATATTCCGTTGACAATGATCAACTCAATTAAAAACTCATTAGGTAACAATCTAACTTGCCGTATAAATTTGTCTGTAAGATGGTTTTCTACTAAATTATATTACAAGTCAAACAATTAGGAGAGAAGACATGCACACTTCATAGCTTAAAAAATATAATACAAATCCTGTGGGCTCATTATAACTTATAGAATCAACCTACTCTACGTGACGTCTGTCGTGATGTTATGCACCGTATGATCTCTATATTTTTTGACGACAACATTTCCTACGTTATAAAATACTCGAGCGTGTATCAAACGCATGCGATGATGAAGCCATCCAATGCACACATACGATGTCTGATGGCATAACATATTGGACGCGTTCAATTATAATAGCATAGTAGTTTATATGAAGGAATACTTGCCACATTATACGGAGACATATGCCAAAATACTTTTGATTTTTTTGTATTTCTTAATTAGTTATATCAATTTATGGCGACTGTCAGTGCAATATAACGGTTTCCACATGTAACGTACATTATAACGGCCGGTGCTCCGTAAAGCGAAGGTTTCCTTTCCTTGACTATTTCGATATGTACGTATATACAAATCAGACAATCCAGATGTCATCTCTGGCGTAATCGAACGGCCCACCGTCGTCCACCTCATCATCCGCCTCCTCAAACCGGAAGAACCCGAAGCCCAACCCATCATAACCGTACCCGGACATCCCATCATCGTCGCCGAGCCACATCGCCGCGGCTCTCTCCGCCTCTACGCCGCCCCCGCGCTCCTCCTCAGCCGCCGGCGGTATCCCCAACTCGTCGTCGGAAGCCTCCAAGAGGTAGCCCAGCTCCGGCAACGGCGAGGGGGAGGAAGAGGAGGGGGCTGCGAGGGCGATCTCCCGCTCCAGGCTCCTCATCACGGTGGCGAGTTCCTCGGGGACGTCGAAGGGGGCCTCCCGGCAGCCCACGTCGTCTTCTTGGTCGCCGTCATCGAAGATTCCGAGGAGTATGTCCGCGTGGAAGCGCTTCGCCTCGGGCGATGACGGCGAATTGCAAGATTCCTCCTCTTCTCGGCTTCGCTTGTGCTCCATGGGCGCGTAATTGTACCAAATGACTGAGTTGAGAGAGTGAGAGAGAAGAAGAATGGAGTTACTTGGGGAAGAGACGCGGGTGGGGGAGTGGGTATTTATGCGTGGAGACGAGGGTTTGTTCAATGCGATCGGCGACCACGTCACCGCCCCTCGATTTTCTATTACGTGGTCAACGTTGCGTTTTCCATGAAGTATTTTTCTGGGCGCCGATGTTTTCGCCAGCTACGTCGCGGCCAAGCAACCAGATACGATTCCACGCGCGAGGCGCCCACGTCGGCACGTGTCCTGTGGGAGCGGGCGGTTCGACGCGCCCTCCGGTTCGCTTTTCACACGACATGTGCTTCCCGAGCCGGTGCCTCCGGTGTGACGGTGGCCGTTGGAGGCCCGCGGAACCGACACGCGGCCGTTAGCGTAATCGCGTGGGGAGCGGGCGACGTCACGCGACGGAGCGGCATTTCTTTCTGATCTTTACCTACCCGTTGCTTTCTCTGTGAGTTATCCGGTTCACATCTCAGCAGTCGAAGGGGCCCACCGTTGAACGGTCCGGCTGCTTACTGTGGACGAAGCAGGCGGCTGAAGGTGGAGTTGGGTGGGTTCAAACGTTGCAGACGTGGAGGTCTATAAGGATGGCAAATTTGCGGATACATCCCTCCGCAAACAGTGAATCATGGACGTACCCTTGCGTAGAATCTTAATTGGGACAAAGAACATGACGTTTGATAGGGGTAAAAATTGATTTGACATAACACCCCAGATTTATCATAATACATCATCCCCACGTCGAACACTCTGTCGCGGCACACTGCCCCAACACGCGCATTAACAATGACACGACGCGCGCCCACGCCGGCCGTACCCCAACGACCTCCTCGGCTGACCCTCGTATCCAGCCAAGGCGGGGGAAGGCGCTGACTGACACCCCCCATGCCCCGCGGTAGCCCGGCCTTCCACGCAACGCCCACGACGTCGGCAAGCGCCATCAGAGGTATGGCCCTGCCCCGGCGGGTCATCGCATCAGGTAACATCGAGCCCTCTTATAAATACCCCCTGACCGCCAACAGGTCAAGGAGAGGAGGAAAAAAGGGGAAGAACATCAATCTCTCTAGAATCTCCTCTCCGCGATCACTGACTAGACCGTCGGAGGGGTCGGGCCGAGCTACCGACCCGACCTGTGTGCAGGTGCTCGTCCGCGACTGGGCGCAATCACCGCCGCAGGACTTTCCAAGTCAGGCCATCCCCCTCTCCCCCAGCAACCTCCAGGACCAGAGGGGCGCCACGTCTGATCCCCGTCATCCGAAGCCCCAGAACCAACCACGTCGACCCCGAGGTCACGCCCTAAAAAGTTACTTACCGTAACAAGGTTGATTAGTCAAACGAGGAGTCAGCGTATGATCTTTGGAAAAGTAAACAATCTAGAAGATTCAAAAAACAGGAACATAAAAATGTGGATCACGTAACAACTTCCTGGAATTTGAACATGTGATCCTGACCGAGGAAGTGGAAGACGGACATCAAGAAACAAGGAGATGGTCAAACGTTTTGACCAATCCGAGGACCGTCGCCAAAGTCTCCGTTGGCACACAGAACGCTGGCTTCCCTGACACGTGTTGCACACCGTCCATCACCACGTAACACGTGCCAATTATAGGACCGTAGTCGGATCTACTCGATCCGTTTAGAGAGGCTTCGAGTGAATACCTTAGTAGAAACTGAATCGATTTGATACACTCGAGCAATTAGTCGAAACACCTAATGCTTGCTTGTCCTTAATTTAGAGGCCCACAGGGCCCAGATGATGAGGGTGTATCATAAGAGCAGATGTGATGAGTTGGCCGTGACACATACCATGTGCATGAACTGGATGGATTCCAGGGTTTGGTGAGGTTTAACCTGCGCAACATTCGGATGGATAGATGCAAATGTCATGTGGAAGATGAAACCCCACCATTCCAATTGGAAAAGAAGCATATGGCGGCCTGCTTTCCGCGGTACTCAGATTCCTAGGCTGCCAAGTTCTGGATGTTAAGGAAGCCTTAACCTTCAAGGCTTTCTTTATCTGTTACGAGTCCAAAGTTGGCAGCGGTGAGTGATTGCTTTCAACTTGATCACCTCCAATCTTCTGCTTATTGCTTTAGAGATTAGAGAAAGGAAATGCAAGGATTTCCACAAAGATCGCCTTTTCATGTTGTTCTTCTACTTTCTTTTTGTTTACTTCTACCTGTAGCAGGCAAACAAGCCAATGTTTGTTCTCAAATTTCAACTTAAATGATTCTGATTTGCCAGTTAACGAACAAGAAGAAGAGAAAAAAAATACATCTGTTCTATCTGCACAGAAATGTCAGAGCAGAGAGTCCAGATCTAACAATTCACTTATCGGGATAATATGTTCCATTCAGTTCACAGCATCGACAGTAAGATTGTCATCGAGGAAGGATTAGCTTTCCATGAGCAATACAAATCCAAGGAAAGATCATACAAATGGGAAGAAATCAAAGCGGTATAACTGATCATGTCAGATATGAAGCAAGCACTAGAGCGAGAGACTGAGGTCCACAGAGTTCTCTTCTTCTCCCACCTCCCTCTTCTCCTTCCCCTTCCCTCTCTCCTCCACTTTCGAGGGGTTCAATGCGCTCTCCGCCGTCGCACGGGGCTCCTCTCTCTCCCTGAAGTCCTCCAACGCGAAGGTCGGTCTCCACGGCGGCGTCGCCTCGGTCTTCTGCCTCTTGCGGTCGTCACTTGTCCTGATGAGGTCTCTCATGGCCCTGATGTTTTCGAGAAGAGCATAGAACTCCTCCACAGCTTCCTCTTGGTCGTCTGCTTCGGCCGCAGGCTTTGAAGTCGGTGGCGTGGTCTGACATGGCCTCTTCCCCCTTCCACCTCCATTCTCCATTGCCTCAACCGAGAACCTAAAGCTCAGAGAGAAGAGAGGGAGTCACAGGAAATCTTCACCGGAGTAAGCAGCAAGGATGGTTGGTGGTGGTTGCAGACAACAAGCAGGAGAGGGAAGGGCAGTTCAAGAATCCCAAGCAATTATAGAGAGGCTCCATGGAAGAGGAGAGTGCCACAGAAGTGACTCGTTAGATTCTCCATGCTCCCTCACTGGGTCATGCCTCTCTCATGTCTTCTTTGCTTGTTGGGTCCGTTGTACCCTTTTTGTAGGATTTATCTTCCTTTGAAAGTAAAAAGGGGATTCTGACAAGAGTTTCTTTTTAGCTGGTGTTCAGCTTTTCAGCATTAACATTGATCATAATAATTTATTGAGATTAGAGATCTATCAATGTGCATGATGTTGCTAAGAAATTGCAGGTAAGCTGCTACATCCAATCAACGGAGACGCGAGAGAGAGAGAGACGTGACAGAGAAGCAGACTTCGACTTGGGGGATGGGTGGTTCTTTGTGCGCCTTTGTTTGCATGAAGTCAGCAGCATTACGTAAGGCTTGTCAGGCAATGAGGGGTCGTAAGTCTTACGTGTGATGATGTCAGGAAGATGACGCTTGTCTCGGAGGTGGAACAAATGCTCGTTCAGGAGGATGATGATGATGATGATGAGCTGTCTTGACGTATAAACAAATATATCCATCCTTCTTTATGACACATTAAAATTGTAGAGATTAGCTATCCCGTCAACTTCCAATTTGCCAACTTATAGTAGCATAGTTTGCAAAAGTGTTCTTAGATCATCGTTAGATTCTATGAATACTTCGCATAGATTGCTACGATTTCTTTTTTTTAATATAAATAATTATTGTCTACATTTCGAATATATATATTTTATTTTAGATACTGTGAGCTTTTAGCCTTCTGCAAATAAATTAATTTCTTGATGGGTGACTTATCATGGATTAGCTTAATCAATATCTGGTTTTATATAATCTAAAATGAGAGTTTGACTAAAATAAGACTGGTCTTCACAAAAGAAAAGAAATATGAAGCACCGTTTTAATTTCTTAGAGTTTTTAGCTCAATCCAGGAAGCTTCCTACCTATGAGAAATGTCGGAATTGGTAGGACATTGCCCGGCTTTTGTTTTGTATGTTGACCGGAGTTGACCAAGTTATGGCTCTTGCGAGTCTTAGTCAATGAATTTTATAGAAAATGCACACTGCGTAGACTCGAGATTTGTGACATGGGATGCATGATTCGATCCAACTAATAGTCTGCATATGCTACGAGAACATTAAATTTAAGAAACTAATCAAGAAAATATAAGTCACATCTAATGATGTGATCGAGTCATTTGTCCTTTAAAGTTAGTACAATAAATTTAAAGAATATTATATATAAAGAAAGACATGCCGGAGACTTTCCGAGGTTCATCGGACTATTGTGGAGGGTGTGAATGTCGCATGGTATTGGGTGAAACTTACATGCATATGATGTCGAGTTTACTCGTGGAATCTCCTCCGATGGCTACATAGTAAGGTAAGAGAAAGACAGGTTGAAATTATTTTTTAGTCTTGTCGTATCCATGTGGAGATATAATAGCATCTCATCAGAGAATAAACATCTTTCTTTTATAAAGGATAAATAATGAAGATAAAATTTGATCTTGTAATGCTCTAACAAAGTCTTTATTACTTAGACTAGTTAATACTTTTTTTTCAAATATATTAAATAAAATTTCAAGCATTCTATATTTGATGAGTAAGTCTATTACACTATTACTGGATTAGTATTTTAGGTGCTAAGTATGTCAGGTAAGGTTATCATCAGGCCAAATATTTTAGATATCATCTTAAAGAACATTCTCTGTTTACTTACAAATCTTATTGTCTCGGTTTGGAGGCAAAATGAATTGCTTTTTTTTTTATAATAGTTGAAATTTCTTAAATTGGAGATAGATTAGTTAGAATTTGGTTTTACCGACAACATTATTATATAGTAACAGTTAAACTCTTTAGTATTTCAATCCCTAGATTTTAAAAAAGTATATTGAAATCCTTATAGCTATGAAAGTGAAATATTTAGCTTCATATACTATAACGTCATCAGATATACCGATGAAAGAAAAATAATAATAATAAAAAAAGATAATTTCAACATCCCAATTATGTTTTTAATGGTGACGGATGATAATGTTGCTGTCGCTGCGGTTCACATATGGATATTGTGGATGAGGAGCGAGAGTGACGACCAGAGATGAGACAACGATACAGATGCCGATGCTATGTAACTACATCAATGTCTCTCGGTAACTACGTTGACGCCGACGTAGATATAGAGCGACGAAAGGATCGTTCTGACATATGTATTAGCGCCAACACAGATGCAGAGAGATGTTGCCCTTCCTTGCATCATTGTTGATATCGATGTAGATGTAAAGTGGTGCTAGTTTGCATTTGTGTCAAGTGACCCTTTTGTCGTTTGACAATTGTGTTGGCACCATGTAAACGTAGAGCAACATCGCTTTGCATTTGTGTCATCATTTCATCTTTCGTCATCGCTTTCCTCCTCATTCATAAAAACAACATACAATCCCTAGCAATGCCATTATTAATCACCAACTAAAATATAACTATGATGTTGAAATGATATTTTTGCCCATTGTTTATGTCCTTTCGTTGATAAAACTGATGGTGTTATGATAAATAGAGTTAGATATTTCACTTTTATAACTATAAGAATTTTAATATAAATTTTTAAATTTAATTATCAAGATATAAAAAAAAAGTTAACTATCAAATAATCTATAATTAGCCCATAATATATTCATATCTTATATCAATGGTATTGAGATAGAAGATTTATACACTTGTCGGTGTTGTTTTCACATGCATATTATTCTCACATCAACATCAATTTGTCGTTTCCATGGATCACATTAGGAAATGGTACATTAACACGATTCCCGTCATTTCGGTGGATCGGAGTCTGGTCATTTTTTATGTCGTCGATGCTGGAGTTTAAGCATCGCATGTGCATGTTCTTCCAATAATACATACATGTGATTAGGAGCATAAATAAATGAAGTCTCAGTTCAGTTCGGCAAAAAGAAGAAGACAAGCAGACACCCATGACAAAGGAAATTAACATCGAGTTGGGCATGTGATTCATGTGACAAAGTGGAGAGACGTGCCGACGAGTCCACCATGATTCCTCTGCCGCAGCAGGATGCGGAGCTGAGCCCTTTGGCACTCCAAGTTGGACTCGCCCAGTGCCACTCGCCCTTCCTTCGCAGGCCTCTGCGTCCTCCCCACCTTGGGGAACTCCACGAACCCTTTGATCCCCCTCCTTATGTGTGGGTTCTCCACTTCCCTCCTCTGCTGACCATGTTGGCCGCTTTGACTTTGATCGCCGCCCTTGTTCTCCCCCTCTCGCTTGCCTTGCCCGGCTGCCGTCGTCGTCATCGTCGTCGTAGTCGTCGTCATCTGCTGCAGCTTCTCCTCCATCACCAGCTTCGCCTCTAGGAGCTTAATCTGCACCCTCTCCTCCCTCCACAGCTCCGCGATCTGCAGCATCCGCCGCTCCTCCTCGATCTCCCTCGTCACCCGCTCCACCTCCTCCTGCCTGCTCGCCAGCTCCTCCTCCAGCCGCCTGCGGAGCCCCTCCGCCGCCTCCCTCGCCCGGCGCTCCTCCGCCAGCTCCCGTGCCAGCGCCTTGCTCGTCGACTCCGCCTTGCACCGCATTCTGCGCTCCTGCTCCAGCTCGGCTTTCAGCTCCTCGATGCGAGCGTGTGCCAGCTCCAGCTCCAGCTCCACCTCCGACCGGGTTCCGTGGCAGTCCATCGAAAGGTTGCGTGGAAGAAGGAGAGCTTCAGATCGCGTCCAGTTATAGACTCGGTGATGTTGGGGACAATCATCGCAACAGATAAGATCGCGAGTGTGTGTGTGTGTGTTGTCTTGGGACTCACAGGTAAGCAAAGTAGCAATCCCCCTTTTGGAGCAAAGAGAGAGAGGAAGAAAAGAAGAGCACATGGATGGAGCATCCACCTGCCATCAACTTTAGTAGGTGGAGGAAGGGGAAGAGGTAGGGTTTATCGCATGTTCCCTCACTTTGCTCACAATGCCTTTCATTATGGCTGTCGTTGCGCATGCACTAATTTAGATGCAGTCCTAATCTCTATCTTGCTAACTAAGATGGATTGTAATTCTACTCAAGATTTGTAGGGTGTTGTGATACTATCTATTTGTTGAGGAATAGGATCGAAAGAAAAAGGAGAAAATAAATTCATACATTAATACTATAACATAAAAAGAAAACCCATATAAGAAGAAAGAGTTATCCTAACCCCAACTCTCAATGACTATCTTAATAGTATAACTAGAGTTCAAATTTCTGAATATACATATGAGAATAAAGGTGTGAAGTGGTTCATGTCTCAACGTCGCGTAACCAATATCTCAATTCTACATGATCGATATCACAACACTATAGGGCTAACGCTTAAGTACTATATGATTGATACCTTAACATAATATGACTGACATTTCATCGTCACATGACTAACATTTCAATCTCACATGATAGATACTTTAATACTATATAGTCGATACATTAGTACCACATGACAAATATCTTAGTGTCACGTGGTTGACATCTTATCGGCACTTGATTAATACCTCATCACAACATGATTAATACATGGTCCACACATGATCGATGCCTCAACACTAGGCCGAGTTGGTGGGATATTATCGTATATTGAATTCTATGCACACAATCATGATTAAACCCGAGAGAGAAACAATAATTTTTTATAATTAGTATCGATCCTAAGAATAACATACATAGGAGTCAAATCTTTCAAACTTAGAATTAATTTAAATATTAAAAGAATATTATTGAGAATACCCCAACGCAGTTAAGTAGAATGAAAAAATAATTGGATTGGCTCCGAATTAATATCCATATCAAATAATTAACAAATATTATTTCAGAAAAAACTGTATTTTGATTTTGGCAAGAGTGTGAACAGCGTGACATGACATTTATTAATATAGGAAAGTAGGTACGGAAAGAAGAATAAATTTACATAAGGTGGGTAACACCTGCAACACAAAGGGAAACATGAAATCGAGGAGTGTGAAGACTAATATTCCAACAGTACGTTTACATTGGAAGAAGTTTCGAGTGCTCTAATTATGCACATACATCAGTGATAGCTAGCTGGGGGCAAGTTTCTGCACTGTACTTCCAATGCGTTTGTGTGCATATTATCATATGAAATTTTCTTTATGATTTGATTCTACAAGCACTTGTTAAAGCTTGTGTAATTTTACTAGAGATGGATTGGCCTATCAAAGTGCCATGATGTGGATCTGGATTTGCCAGCACAAAAGCATGGTTATCTTGCTATTGATGGGCCTCCATCAATGGTCTTTTTTTTCTTTGAATGAGTCAGTAATATGAATGAATTAGAGTAAGATGATTTTGCTCTTAGAAGCTACACATATGAATGACTTCGACCCGAATAGACAAATAGGTAATGTATTTTCTTACGGTAAATGAGTTTGATATTATCATAGGGACGTTAATATATTTCTCGTAAGAAAATTTAAGACCAAAAATATGTTTCTAAACTACAATACAAACACAAGGAAATTAATGCCCAAACAAAAATTATGTACCTCCGATCATTGTTGTCAAAAATTTTAGTAATGATTTCTCTTAGTATTTTGGTACTTTTCGACTTAGAACTTTCGCTTTAGACGGTGTAGGAAATCCTTAATACTCAGAGAAAGATTGAGTCAAGGATCAAAACCTTACATTCTCCCATCAAAAACATTTATTATCAGCAACTTCGTAACGTTCAAGAATTAATTTAAATTTATAATATTTAAATCATAATAAATAATTTTAATGATAATAAATAAAATATTTAATAATAATGATTAATAAATTAAAATATTTAAACTATAATAAATAAAGAAATTGATGATAATGAATGGTGAACTTAATGAGAATGGTTACATTCTCCCACTCAGTCAATACGGTTAGCTTAATAATTTAAATTAATCTTATCAAATAACTCTCTTAAGAAAGAAATACATGAATTATAGCGATAAGTTATTTAAGAATGAGTATTATCATCTATGTATCATGATATATTTAGTTTCTTAAGAATTAATTTTAATATGGTAATATTACTTAATGAATAAACCTTATGTTTATTCTTCGTCCAATACAAATATATTTTCTCAAATTAATGTGCACATAAATGAGAAAAATATCATAATATATAAGAGTTTCAATACAATTAAAAAGTGAAACCAAGTCTCATTTTCTTTACATGATCCTTGAATTTTAGAAGTGGCATACATTTAGTCAAAGAATCAGTAATCATCAATTCAGTGCTAATATGCTCAATGACCAATTTTTTTTTCTTTTACATGTTCTCTTATAGCTAAATACTTAATGTCAATATGTTTATTTTGATTTTTTTACTTTTATTATTTTTAGCCATAAATATAATAATTGAATTATCGTAGAAAATTCTTAATGGCCTTGAAATAGAATCTAGGATTCTAGGCATAGAAATGAAATCTTAAGCCATACACTATGTGAAGTAGCCTTAAAACAAGAGACAAAAAATAGCAGTTAAGGTCTGCTTTACACTTTTCTAAGAAATAACTCCACTAGCCATCATAAAAATATATCATGATGTTGATTTACGAGAATCAACATAACCGACGAAGTCTGCATTTAAGTAGTCAATCACATCTAAATTGTCTATATGTCTATATATAAGCATGTAATCTTTGGTTTCTTGAAGATACCTTATTACTTTCTTTGCAGCTCTCCAATGATCCATACTTGGATTACTCTGATATCGACCTAGTATCCCCATAGCAAATGCAATATCAGGTCTAGTACAGTCATGGGCATTTATAAGGCTTCCTACGGTAGAAGTATATGTAATGTTTTTCATCGATTCCCTCTCAAGGTTGTTCTTTGGGCATTAGTTTAAATTGAACCTATCATCTTTCACAATGGGAGCAATACTCGATGAACAATCCTTCATCTGAAATCTTTCTAAAAGTTTATTAATATAAGTTTCTTGTAATAGACCTAAAATGCCTCAAGGTTTATCTTTATGGATCTTAATGCCAATGACATATGCTTCACCCATATCCCTCATATCAAAACATTTAGAAATGAATTATTTTTCCTTATGCAACAAACTCTTATAGTTGGCTGCAAGCCAAATTCAAACGAAGAAATCACTTGATCCATGAGATTTTTAACAAATTCAAATGAAGAAATCACTTCATGGAATTTAAAATACTATTGGCGAGAGACTTGTTTTAAACTGTATATAGACTTTTTAAACTTACAAATCAAGTGTTCACTAACACTAGAGGAGAAACCTTCAATTTGTTTTATATAAATCTCTTACTCTAGGTCTCCATTAAGAAATATCGTTTTCATATCCATTTGTTGTAACTTAAGGTTAAAATGAGCAACCAATGCTAAAATGATACGAAGAGAATCTTTCTCAAATACAAGAGAAACATCTCAATATAATCGATTTCATCTTTTTGAGTAAATCCCTTTACAATAAGTCTTGCCTTGTATCTCTCAATGTTGCATAATGATTTTTTTTTATCTTAAAAATCCATTTGCAACTAATAGCCTTTGTCCTATTAGGCAACTCTACAAGATCCCAAACTCCTTTACTCTTCATAGAATTTATCTTCTCTTTCATGGTATCGTGCCATAAATACAAATTTGATTCATTGCAACTTATGACCTATGAAAATGTTTCAAGATCATTTTCGGCTCCAATATTATAATCAAATTCTTGTAGATATATAACATAATCACTAGAAATTGCTAATCTTTTATTTCTAATAGATCTTCTTAATATTGTATTAATGTTTCCCTAAGGAACTTGTGGTTCAACTAGATATTCAGGAGCGTATTATAATTCCTGAACTGCTTGATCTATTAGAATATCATCGACAACTTATGGAATCTCAAGGATTGATTGTTCAACACCTACTTGAGGAGTGCTATAAACTATAACCAATCTATCATTAGATGTAGAAGGTTGAGATTCTATATGATCATGTGCAAAAACTATGTTCCTGAATTATTCGCTCGCACTGATCATGTCATCCTTAAGAAACTTAGTGTTTCTTGATTCCATAATCCTAGTTGTGTGAGATGGATAACAAAATATGTAACTTTTGGACTTTTCAGCATATGCAATGAAATACCCACTAATAGTCATTGAGTCCAGTTTCTTCTCTTGTAGATTATTTGGTTGGAACTTAGTTTAATATATACGTACCCTTCTTTAGTACTTTAATCCATAAGAATTTAGGGAGATTAGAGTTACTAAGCATATTTCGCACCATGTCTAATAATATTTGGTTTTTTCTTTCTACAACATCATTCTGGTCTTGAGTACCAGGAATAGTGTATTGGGCAACAATCCCATGTTTTTGAAGAAACCTAGCAAAAAGACTAGGTGCTTGTTCATTTTTAATATATCTACCATAATATTCTTCACTTTATCTAATCTCATAATTTTAATTTGCTTATAACATTGGTTCTCAATTTTAGCCTTAAAGACTTTGAAGACATCCAATGTTTTATTTTTGTTACGAAGCAAATAGATATACATATCTCATGAGTAATCATCTATAGAGGAGATAAAGAATTTCTGATTATGTGCATCTATGTTTGGACAACATATATCAGTATGAATGATCTCTAATATCTCTGAACTCCTATTAGTACCTTTCTTAGTTTTATTGGTCTATTTTCCTTTATTATAGTCTACACAAGTCTTAAAATAAGTAAAATCAAGAGTAATAAGTATCTCATTATTAACTAGTAGCTTAATTCTCTGTATGAAGATATGTTCTAATCTCCGATATCATAACATAGAGGAGTTCTCATTAATATTACAACTTTTAGTGCCAATGTGAACCTACATTGAACTATGAGTATTATCATTTTGTAAAAAAATATAATAAAGACCATCAGATAAAATACTATTCCCAACATAATCAGATTTATATAATAAACTAAATGATATGTCTTGAAAATTATAGGAATATCCAAATAGTATAATTTTGGAAATAAAAATTAAGTTTTGTAAGAAACTTGATACATAAAAGGTCATTTCCAATTTTAAAATAAAACTATTACTTAAAGTTAAAATGCATGTTCC